TAATAATTGGACCTGCATCCACACGCTTAAAGACCATACTGATCACGTCAACTCAGTTGTATTCTCATATGACCGCAAATATATGGCATCAGGTTCGGATGATGGAACAGTCAAGATATGGACTACCACAGCAACATGGTAGGCTGAAGTGATTGGTGACTATGAGTTGTGAACGGGTGGGATATTTCCTATATATCATAACTGGTCTGTTGGGGCGGGTTGGGGGTTTGTTGCGGATGTTTCCCAGCACAAGTTTCTTATTTTGGACTCTTCCAGTGACTTAAAATAACTGCAGGCTTCCATAGTGTCGAGGCGGCAGCATTTTTGATGGTAAATACTCTGTCCTAGAGGGTTGAGCAAATGATCCTGGGAAAGGAGATTAGACATGTGGAACAGATTGACTAAAAGGAAGGATCTTGCGATAAATCTGGTCAAAATGTAGATCTAAGTTTGGGGCATCTACCTCAGGGGTCTAAATGATATGCTAACTTTGCAACTCTATAATCTCTTGCTTCCATATCGAGGCCCTACGATACAAAGAGTAAAAAGAAAAAGGAGCCCCAAAAGATTGATGCCCAGGGTCAAGAGAACAACAAAGCTTTGCTGCAGACGGTATGCCGGCATATGCAAGACAACTTAGTTTAGAAGATAAGATACTGCTACAACTGTAGTTAATGTAGGTCAACCCACTTCCAGCAACGCCTGAACTTGTTTCTCCGCCTGGAGCGACATTGGATGCCATTGGCTTCCTTCTGGGTTTCCCTTTACGCAGCCGAGGTTAAGATTCACAAGTGGTTCCTCTATCGTGGTAAACGGTCTCTGGGACACAGTCCAAACTAGAAGAGACCTTACGGGTGATTGTACCTAAGGCGGTCATGGGAAGAGCATACCGTGGCGGCTGTCGAATAATGTGTTGGTAGATTGGCATGGGCCATAGTGATGGCTAGAAAGTTGAATATCAGTTGAACAGTTGGTTGCACGCGGAATTTCAGCCAAGACCAGTAGACCCACATTGTTTACACACTGGTAAAGCACATGATGATCTTATAACAAAATATACATGCAAATATGGTTTACAGTGTGTAAATTGTGAGGATCCTAAGATTATAAAGCGGTGGTTTAATCTTGTTGAATAGTATAGTAAAATATGTATTCTTGAATAGGAAATTTAAAATTTTGATGAGACCCTCAAATGGGGGAAGCTTATACAGTTACAGTCATTATTGCATCTTGTCATCGAATATGCTGGGTACGAGTTGTATAGACAGGGAATCGCGAAAAGGTCGCTGTTCTTGAATATATCAATGCTTCTGGTTGGTCTCTACCGCCTATGACTATTTTTCTGGCAAAGTTCATCAGTCTCAGTTGTATCAAGACATCCCTGACTGGCTTACTGGCCTAAGCGATAACGGATGGGCCAATATCCGGATTGGCATATAGTTGGAAAAGGTCTTTTAGTGAACACATGAGGCATGCAGCAGGCTAGTTACAATCATGCATGCTGGCCCGACGACCTTACTGGCAATATATCGTAAAATTAGAACTGGTGAGGTTTGAAATCGCCAACAGTGGTTAGCTCGCGGCTTTAGAACATGTATCGACACGTATCCCTAGTTTAAATACCGTTCAGGTTATGGATACAAAGCCGTAGGGCAAGTGATTGAAGTCTAGATATCTATGGCTAGGATGTCAGGACTAACAGTGCAAGTCCAATAGTATATTACAGAGCACATAATACCATGTTCCTTAGACAGTACAGGTCTTGAGACCACAGTCCTGAATCCTGCATGGCCCTCAATCCGCTAACTGGCGACCCAGACAAATACAAGACCGCTCCAGTCGTCGGACTATGTAGCTGAGACCTTGTAGGACTACAGACCGACCGTTTCCGCCCTAAGAGTACAATGTCCATCGTTGCTATGCTTGCCGCTTATTTAATATATCATCTCTCGCCGTGGATTGCTTAACACTCAGCATTCTTGCAACTGAGGCCACCAGTAGCCGAGTGACTTTCAAGTCTCTACCCAAGCTCATGAAGATGGTCAAGCTATCATCATCAATCATCGCGCGAACACAATGATTGACACTAACTTTCCTTAGAGAACGGTTATAGAACCGTGCATTCAGATCATGCAGCCGCGCATAGCGATTAGCAATTCTTTGTGCATCCCCTAGGGCGGACACATTGACGGTTACGGTTTCCAGAGTTCTCCAGTCACCGCGACTCTCGTAGGCTAGAAACCTTATTGTTACGTCTTGTAGTCTCGGTCTCTTTCGCTGGTAGGATTCAGTGGCCGGTGTACCTTCTGTGCATGCAGTGGACTCCAACTGCGTAAAAGTTTTTTGTGCTTCATCACCTAGAACAATTATCCCGTCATGAAGGCGCTTGTGGGCCTTTCTTGCTGGGGCTACACGCTTTCGGTTGTTCGGGGCAGATTCAGAGCGTTGTATCTCTGCTTCCTCTTCAGTCAGGTGGACATCTTCGTCGAAAAGTGCCTGCTCTGCCGCTACCCTGTCATCCTGTTCTTTCTGGATTTGCTCCGCGCCAGGCTGACCGGCTGCTGATACTCCTTACTCTTGTTGACTAAGTGACGATATAGATGTCTCCGATTGAGCTCTTGGAGTTATTGGACTTTCTATTTCTTGTGCTTCCGGGACTGTCACTGACTGACCTTCCCGCGTGACTTGCGTTGCTGGCGCATCAAGCACTTTCTCAGTTTCCTGCTCAGAGCCAGAAACACTATCCCCGAAGCCCCATTCTAAATGGTCGGCAGCAACCGTCTCCAGTGTTCCGTTTCGGAGACCTGGACTTGTTAGCCCTTTTGAGTTCTCCTCGCCCAATTGAGATCCTCGTTCACGCCATCTGGTAATTATAATGTCTAGTGGAGTGACGGGCCGAGCAGGTTCAACGGTCCTGTCGTTATATTCGGGTGTCAAAGGCAAGTTTGCGGCCCCGTTTTGCAATTGGTCGAGAGCCATCGCACAATCTCGTGCGACTTGCTCGCCTTGCCTTTGCTTGTTTTCAGCGGCGTGACCTTGCTCATCCTGCGACTGAGCTGGATCAGTAATGTCCTTGTAACTCCTGTCGGAGATGACTCGGTTGGGGAGGTCATCATGATGACATTCCCGATGTCCTTCTTCTATCGGTGCGCCGTTTTCTAGTCGCTCGTTCTCGGTTATTTCTTCAGCCCCATGTTGAACTAGGTCCTGGTCTATCATCTCTATTGAGGTTTCTTCAATTCTGTCTTCGAGCCTCGGCGCATTTAAGCCTGTCTCAACTCGTAGCTCATCGTCCGATAGTTGGTCCCCCTGGCTTCCACCATTAATGAGAAGTACCTCATTTGACTCAGTTATAGTAGACGCTTGTCTGGAGGGCGGCGCTCTAGGTGGAATCAGCATGTATTGAGTCGCTCGCTCTCTATGGTGCCGACGTTCCCGACGCCGATACCACCTCTCCTCCCGCCTTTGACGTCGCCGTTCGCGGTGAGTTTCCTGTTCCTGCCTACGATCTTCAAGGTGTTCCGCAAGATCACTGTGTTGTAGGCGATTATCTACCACCGATCGGGATTGTAAATGAGCACTATCATCCGGCATAAATAAGGGAGAAGACCTGTCAGAGGCATGTTCTGATGGGCCACTTCCAGCCGTGGCCCTAGGCTGACGGGGTGTAGAGAGTTTACCAAAAAATGCATAGTAAACAGACTGTCTCACATAGAGCGATGAAACTTTTTGCTGTAGTAATAATTCAGCATGTAATTGGTCGACGAATAGATACGGGCGATCTAGCTGCTGGGTTTGCTCTGGAGGAATTCCACACCGGTCTTTAAGCTTAACCGCTCGACCTGTGATGAGATCTGCAGCTGGCTGGCCCTGGTTAGGGGCAGCATGAGAAAAACACCGCGACATTTGGCCGACGAGGGACTCAAAGACCTCCTTGTCATAGTGATAACGGTCGGGTTTCCGCGCCTTAAGGAGGGCTGCCTGCGCGATCTGCCGATCAGGTGATTGCTTCAAAATCGCCTCGATTTACTTGGAACGGAAGCCCAAATCTCGTGCAAGGGCTGCCATATCATATACCACTCTCTCATCTGCTTTTGCACGAGTGGGCTTAGCCTTGACCTTCAGGCTTTGGACATCCTTAGCCATCTCGGGATAGTTTCGCATGGCATACGTCCACATATGTAATGGAGCAAATCTCAAATATGCGTAGTAATGAGCCGCCAGTTTTACACTTGCATCCCACGAACAACAAATAAGGAATTATTATTCTATGCAAATCTCTTCGTAAAGATTAAACACTCATCGGGCTTAAAGACCTCCGTATAAACCGGTGGGCAAAGGTGAGCTTGGATCAACCATGTTATTCGGGGCCTGCCAAAAGCTTCTTTCTTCTATGTTGAGCGTCTGCGCACACATATGGCTAAATCTCTTCCATAGTCCAAGGCTCTTAGTATTGATGCCAGATACAAGCAGACGTAAGCATTGTCTCAGTGCTGGTAAAGTAGCAGCAATGATGACCAAATTGGTTTCAACACAACTGATACCCTGCGATGTCAGAAAAGTCTCTGGTAGTAATCAAGTAATATAAGAGCCCAATCAGGTTTCAAATAAGATTAACAACGTGTAAAATGACATGACGTCGATGGGGGCCCATAAATTGTCCCCACCATTGGACGGATTTATCTAGTCCGGCGACTACTCATCAATTATCAACCACGACGGAAACAAGAGATCAAAACATTCTCGGAGTCAAGGTAACTACTATACTCGGGGTACGTTTTATTCCATATCCATATCCTGAATTGATTTTTTTTCGAGCCTTGTAATTGGCCTCCTCGCTCCAATCCTCCTTCAGACATAATCTCCAACCCCACCTATATCATATTTTAACGCGTATCGCTCAGCAGGCACTGCATTTCATCGCGACAGGGAGAGCCCAAGAAGACAGAGAACGGTCCTTACTACGAACCCAAAGTCAACATGTCCTGGTTCCAGAAAACCTTTTCTCTCAAGCCGAAGTCCCGCGGCTCGTACCTGATCACCCAAGAGGTTACAGATCAACTTCCTGAGATCGAAGATTACGATGTCGGCATCTTACACCTCTTCATCAAGCATACAAGCTGCGCCCTCTCACTAAACGAGAACTGGGATAATGATGTGCAGGCAGATATGACTGATGCGCTTGAGCGAATTGTACCCTATGATGAGGAGGGAACACTCTATCGCCATTCAGCGGAGGGAGAAGATGATATGCCGGTATTTATACCTTTGACCATGGATAATAAGCCTTACATGAAGGACTACCGGCTATGCCTGAGAGTATTGTACTGATGTACCGAATAGGCACATGTTAAGTCCGCATTGATTGGAGCTTCCGTTAGCATTCCGATTTCCAACGGGAAGTTGGCCACCGGTACTTGGCAGGGCATTTGGTATTTGGAGTTCAGAACTCAGACGCATAGAAGAAATGTTGTCGCTACCATACAGGGACAAAAGAAATGACTCGATGGCGAAATAAGGGGGAATTTATGATTTATGACGCTATACGGAAGTTGTTGGAGGGGTTTAGAAAAAAACGCCGTGGTGTACAGTGTACGTGTCGATAACTTTTTATAAAACATCGGGACATAAGCAGATAGTCTAGTCAACACTTTTTCAGCCTCCCCACAGAGGGAATTCATGATGACGAGCTCTGGTTCCACAAACCGTGCCAGACAATTCCACCAACTCTGTCCGAACACTATTAGAATTCACAGGTGGAGGTCACGATGCATTCATCATATTGAATATGGTCCCGGCGCCGTATTACTACTGATTAAGCGATCATCAATTGATATGAAAACATTTTATTCTAACTCATTGATCGGTACAATCTGTACAACGCCCCTCTGAAGGCAAAGAGAGGGCAAGAAAAACAAACAATCATCAACGCCAAAAACAATGCTCTACCGCTGTTCAAGACCACCCTCGGTGACACGCTGAGTCTCGTTCACCTCGGCGGCGTCACCAGTGGGTTTGAGGGGGTAGCTGGTAGCGGGGAGGGACTCGAGGTATGCACGGTGCTGCTCGTGGGCCTATCACAATATTAGCGACTTGCACAAATCTGAAGTTTGAATATGGATCTTACAAAAGGCAATCCACAGTAGCCGCAGGTAGCAATCTCGGGCTTGTCGGTGTTGATATAGATTCTGGGGTGGCCGAGAGGGCCACCACCACCGTCACAGCTGACGACTCTCTTCTTTGTCCAGCGGACGGGCTGCTTGTGGATGAGCTCAATGGCGGCATAAGGTTGGGGCTAGTTTTGATACTTGTTAGCTGATCGGTCTGTCACGCGTGGTACTTGCGCAGTTCCAAGTCTCGGATCCGGTCCGTAAATCCATCACATCACAACATCCAATTGCAATTGTAATGCCTAAACATACCTGCATCTCCATGATTGTCTGCTCGAAGCGAGGTCCAGTCATAGCCTTCTCTCTTGGCTGCTGGCTGGCGGCCCAGGTCCTGGCACGGTTAGGAGCCTGAAGCTGGCGGTTGCGCTCGCTAGCCTCGACATCCTCCCTCAAAGGCGCATCCCGGGAACCCATAGCATCAACAGGAGTGGCATTGGTGGTGGATACATTGGGCTTGGGTGGTTGCGGGGCGTTCGGGTCGTTGGCTGGGATGTTGTTCTCGGAGAAACGAGGGACGGTGGTGGTGTAGCTGGCCCGGGCGGCAATGCGAGGAGTCCAGGCGGCAGAGAACGCCGCGATCCGGCTTCGAGCCAAAGGCAACATGTTGAGCAATTGAGTCCCTGGGACTTGGTGCAGAGGGCAATTGAGGATGGCGGGTGAAGCGGAGGTGAGAAGTCGGCTTCAAAGGGTGAGGTTTGCGGGAGCTCGCGCCGCCGCTTGAAGAGCCAATCGGCGTCTCTCCTGCGGCTGCTGACCCAATTCTGCCGCTTGCGAATTTGTTCCGCTTTTGGCTCATGTTTTTTTGTCGCGATCTTTCATCGCTATATCTACATATTATTGCACGATACATTAAGAAAAAGAGTTTCCGAGTCTGTCTAGTTTCGGCAAATCTTCCGTCACAACCTCGTCATGGCCGGCTCACCTGCGACTGGCTCCAAGCCAGAGAAGACAATGTCTTCACGTCTTCTCACGATGAAAGTATGTCGCTTGCATTTGGGCTTTTACGGATTTATACGATCTTTGTCAACTGGAGTTTAGCAAACACAAACTGATTGATTCAAGTTTATGCAACGATCCGCCGCTACAGCTGCCGCTAAAGAATCGTCTCAGCCGCCTTCCACCGAAGGTTCAAACACTCCTACCCCCAAACGCCAAAGATTCGCACCCGGTGAACAATCTTATAGCCCGGCAGCTACACCTTCGAAGGATCTTGAGGCTATCTCGGCCGCTCTTGCGGCGGAAGAAGAGAAACGTCGGGAAGCTATTGCGCGTCAGGCTGCGGAATCAGGTGAAACAGAATGGGTGATTGATTTTGCTGAAGACCCTGTGCACCAATATGCCCCGCCGCCCTTCATTGTTGCCAATGGTTCTCTCGACGCTGATGATGACGATGACTTGGCATATGGAGGGAGACAGACGTATGGTAACTTCAAACGGAAGAAGAAGACTGAGGTTTGTTCGCATCTTCAAAGTCAGGGGATTAGTCTTGCTGACCATTATAGACGCGCAACACGGGCGGTGATGAGTCTGGTTCTGAGGAGGACGAGGATGAAGACGAAGATGATGTCGAGTCTATGATCAACAAAGCCAAAGCAAAGGCGTCGAAACAACCTCCGAAGGTCAAGCTCTCGAAATTAACGAGCATCTCTGGTGGACGTCAAGGCTCTGTTGGAGGCAACAAGTCTCAGAAGAAGCGCAAACACAAATAAAGTAGTTCGGTCTAAGAATTATTCGCCATCCTGCAGGACAACACGGTGATATTGCCCACGGGCTTCTCGCCAGCCTCATCTGCCCCATATCGCCACAGCGTGCGGCGTCTTCATCAACAGGGGTACCACCGATTTCTTCGGAGCAGATTGCGACGAGAGATTTCCAGCACATATATTCTGCGCTTTCCTCTGTTTCTCTTTGGTGCGCTTTGCTTCCCAGCAACGTCGGAGCCGAACTATCTGCGCGGAACCCGATGCTGCTTACCACCACTGGTGCTGCGCCGCTTTATATAAGGACTCCCTTCCGCTTATGGGCGTCGTTTCTTACAAAGCCGACATCGAAAGTATGGTTTTTGATGGTGAGCTCCTCGACATCGAGCAAGAAAGACTCACTTAGGCGTCTGTCGTGGCTCTGCTGGCTGTCGTCATGAGAGACCAGAATGTGCGGCCTCGTGATCTATTTCTATCAGCCATGTCTAAAAACTGAGATGACGGCATAGTTAGATTCCTTCAATAGTCCCGGAAATCAAGATTTGAATTCAACATGAATTCACGAAGCTGAGCCGACAAGATCACTCACGTTCAAGACCCAGCCACATGAATATTTTATCTATTATCTACGTAACTTGCAGTCATTTATGATGAATATAATTTAGTCAAAACCACTAATCACACTGTATAAGCAACTCCCCTTCCATTCTCTCTCAATGTCGTGATGCTGTAGGATATATAATACTTAACTCGATCCGTTACAATCTCGAACCGTTTCTCTCAATTGGCAGGTGTGCCAACATAGAACAGGTTTTCTTTCAGTAACGGGGAATGGAGCAATAGCCAGATCTGTGCAGCATACACTGCTCCGCATACCAACCTTTGTCCTTTCTGTATTCCTTCATTTTTCCCGTCCAAGTTACCTAGGTTGTTTTCTGCACTAATCTATCTTGTCTAGCATGTCTTTAGAGTTGGTACATATTGGTACATGCAACCATTCCATATCAGCCATCACGGTATATGATATGATATGTACTGCTGGCAAATAATATCCACGTCACTGTAGGGGATCTCTTCATCTACTGTAAAGTGTCTATCAGTGTAGCTGTTATTAAATATTATTAATACCGAGAGATTGTCCGAAGATAATAAGACCACACAACCTATTTACACTCATATATATGGTCAGTATACCATTTATGCGCCTCAATGCTCTGTGTCTTCTGTCCAGCATTTCCCAGATCAGAGTCAACCTCATTGATCATCTCGATATCCGCCGTCCCAACGGTCTCATTGTTCCCCGCGGGGATCCAGTACTCAGGGCTGATCTGGTGATACCCAAGCAGACGAGGTGGCAAGCGAGGAACGATATCATTGGAATGAGTAACACGGAAGTTTGAGCCCTGGCCCGAGACATAGTCGGCGAATTCCTCATTGCCCACACGGGGCGCTCCATAGGTATACTATTCCCATCACATTAGTACCGGACTCATACCGTAGAGCCAAGCCCAAAAGAGAGAGAAAAGACTCACCAACTCAACCCGAGATCCCGAATTCCGCAGAACAGTCGCCGCAAGCGTCGCAACTGCACCACCAAAACTGTGCCCGGTCACGGCAAGATTGAACCCTGGATAAGCCTGAAGGGCCTTCTTCACGCCATTCATCGTAGCGGTAGCTACCGACTCCCATGACTTCCAGAAGCCGGTATGCACTTCGCACCCGTCACAGAGCTCATCGACATCCTCCTTTGCGAACTGGACGTTGGCAGCCCAGGTCTCTATCGATCTGGTTCCCCGGAAGGAGAGAACGATATGCTTGTTGGATTCATCTACGGCGAGGAATCCGGCTACATCACCAAAGGATTCAGCTCTGTTTTGATTCGTATGTTAGCGGGTTTGGGATATGGGTGCTTGGGATGAAGTCAGTAGACGCACTCTTCAAACTCGGCCAAAGTCTTTGTATTCGCGCCCTCGACAAGAGGACAATTTCCAACTGAGCAGGTGAGCTTCGTATTCGGAGAGTTGGTGTTGGCGGAGCAGTATGCCGCTGCCGCGTACTGGGCGTATAGGGTGAGCTGTTGAAGGAATTGTGGCGAGACCTCTAAAGCCATAATTAGAATCTGACCTCTCATATGATAGAATACCTCATGCACAGGGGTGGCTGTCCACACTCACCTCGGGGGGTTATTTGAGCCGAAGAAGGGGCAGCAACGCCCAGCCCTGCACAGGCCCCGAAAGCTGTCAAAACTTTACCGAAATGGCGCATTGCGCGAATATTATATAAAAAGAATAATATATGTATTAAACAAAGGAAAAGTCAATTGAAATGAAGGGACAGGTTATATGAACCCAGAAATTAGCCACTTGGGATGCCACAACCCCGGAGGTACTTAGACCTGTAGTTTCTCCCTGATTCAAACCGATCCAGAGTCATCCCTGGAATCCTTAAACAACCTTATATGTCTAGGCACGGACAGGCAGCACTCGCCACTACCACAATCTCCACACCAGAAGTTCAAACTCCCCAACGGTATTCCGGTGGGATACGGAGTGCACAGATCATATCCACTAAGATACATCGTAGCGTATCCCAGTATCAGGCAATAAAGCTCAAACAATAGGCGAAAGAAGGCCAATGCAGAATTGAAGATCGGCAGTATATAGAGGCTTAGATCACTGCAATGGGAACGAATCAGAAGCCAAGACCACAGGACAGGGAGGCTACAATGTTAGAATTCTGCGCAGAGTGCATACGACAGAGGAACTAAGTCACCCGCGTCCCTGCCGCCAAGTTCATAGTTCCCATCGCTATCCATGGGTTCGCTAGTGGGGACCTTCCCAGTTCCTTACCCTAACGGTTAATGAATAGCATTTCCAGGTCCTAGGGACAGCTGGGACCAATCAACGGCTCTCGTTGGCTCATTTTGTCTTGGATGATCCCTTCTTTTCTGTTCCGTTCCGTAGATGTATTCAGTGCTTATCACTGAGCCATCTCTGCCGTAGGAGATTTTTGAACCAACGGAGATCTTGGCGATGGAGCGTTGATGAACTATTGTCATATCGCCGATATTTCTCCCTTCGGAAGGATTCCGTTTCCTCTATATTAGTTAAACGAGTCTGGGACGTTGAGTGAGCACGTTTTGGTTCACTAGCAGGTGCTTCTTTAAAAGAGGGTCCAGTGAGGTCGAACGTAGGGCTATCTCACAGTGGAATTCTTCAGCCTCTCTTCGCAGCCTGTTCGAATTGTGTGGCAAAATTTGTATTACCATTGATTTCATCAAGCGCCTCGTAAAGCGGGAGAACATCGCTTTGCTATTGTTGTGGTAAATCAGTTAATATTCGATAACCAGACATTGAGAGATGGACGTACGTTAATTACCCTCCATTTGTAGAAGTCACCCACGGTTGCACACCACTGCGGAGGGCTATAATATTATCATTAGCATATATTATGGCGGATATTCGCCCCGTGGTGCTAAATACTCACTTATTACATAGCAATGTATCGCCCCCAGTCCTCCCAGGCCATTGCATTCGTGAGATTCTGTTTAGATGTGTTCTGAATAGAACTGTTGCCCTGTTCGTGGCTTGCGCTGGCGGGATGCTTGGGCCCATGATGATGAGAAGGAGGCAGCAGCAGAGACTTTCATAGCCTGAGCTTGGTTCTTCTTGGTTTGAGCACTATCGGCAGCGCTGTCCTCGCTGGCGAACAGAGCTCCGCCAAGTTGAACCCTTTGGGGGAAGATATCACCTTCAAGCATGGTTAAACCCGTCGATCGAGCAATATAGTAGGGAAACGAATTACGAACCAAACTTCTTGCTAAAGGCTATCAAACTCTTTTTGTCCTGAACCTTTTTGATCTCACGTTTGCATTCCTCGGTGATCTCAAGAGAATCTTTGTCACACAGTAACACGCGGAAACCGTTGATGGTTAACGCTTGCTATTTAACAATTGCCTCTCACAAACAGCTGTACCTTGTAAGTAATGTGCATTGTTCTTTTCTCTTCAGAGTTTGCGGTTACTGAACGCCTTTACTACTTTCGGAGAATCCAGCGCTGGCTGCGGCGGATACACCCCAGAAACCACCGCCGCTGTCATAAGTCAGCTACATCCAACCATCAGGAGGGTGTATGATCAAACTTACACAGACGCTTGAACTGCAGTCTCGGGAAACGAGCCCTTTGCAAGTGAATTCTCTAGAGCGTTTTGCGTCTCATAAACGCTCACATACGAATCGTCATCGACTCGGAATCGAGGGATCCTAACTCAAGCTAGATAGCACATAAATTGTCAGCTATGCGCCTGGTATGCTAGAAGCCTATACCCCCACATTATCAGCCCCAGGTGCTATCGGAGTTCCTGAAATGAGATATCCTTCACCAGGATCAGCTGATATCTCATCCTTCTGAAATGGCCTTTTCTTTAGTTAAAACGCTACAGGATGTCATTGATTAGTACCTATCCATGCTAGCATACCACATAATGGAAACTCTACCTACCGCTGTAGGGGGTACGTTCAACTTTCATTTCTGTTGTCACCTTGCCCTGGATCTTGCTTAGACTTGATTTCTTGTCGCTAGCCGACTTGGGGGGATCCAGCAGCGCGGGGCCCCCTATTATCTTCTCATATCTCACTATCTTATAGCCACTGAAAAGACAGTTCGTCTGTGTAATAATACTCCACTGCTCTTCGGTCAAGTCGGCAGCATGGCTGGGTAGATAGGTTCATGGGCCTTTTCTGAGCACTGAGACACTATCGTTATGAGAGGACATACCTCTGCTTCGATCCTGCCGTCGCCTTCCGCTTGGTTGCATCAAATGTTGACTTGAGCCTGTTGAGGTCCGCCTCCGACAACTTCTGGTCCTATTTTGCAACAACTTAGCAGATCAAGACAAGCTACGATGGGGTGTTCCTAGCTGAGGACCCACCTTCGTGGTCAGATCCAGTTGCTTTTTGAGGAACTCCTTCGTTTCATCGTCAAGGGCGGTGCGTGTCTTCTTCTGCTTGAAATACACATTCAATTGAGAAGCTGAAGTTGCCGACATCTTCGTTATCTTATAGGGACATTAGTAAAGCTTCTGTGGAAGATGAATCATGCTTTTCATACTTCCTCCTTTGCCTCGTCAATTACGCTAAAGTAAAGCTTCACCATGGTTGAGTCGGACATTTCAGACCCATTTTTATCGCAGAATGGGCTAGATATGCTGGGTGTGTGTAAGCCGCTGCACTGGTTCTCCACGGGCCCAATATATATCTTACTCTGAAGAATCGAAGACCTTTTCACTTATGAAAAATTTCCTAAGTACTTCCAATTTTTCCTTTCCGATGTTGGCGAACTTGTCCTTTTCAACCTGGATGAGGCGTTGTGGGGTCGATGCTTCACTGTCGGAGTCATATTTGTGCACGCGCAAAACAGTATAACAGTTTAAGTCCTCGGTCTTTTCAGACGACATTGCTGATTTGTTGAGTTATTGTGACATTTCAAGGACTTGGCTTATGTCTTGGTACCAAGGCTATGGAGTAATGTCTGATTTATATGTATATACCGTCAAAGCCTGCTGTATGAGGTATAGCGAGGGACCATATTGCGGTGTGATATTATTGTTCCTGTACCCCGTATTTGATTACCTGCAGTGGCTCGAGAATGCTGGTCAAACTTTTCAGTAAAAGTCGGTGAGATTTCCGCTAAGATACTATAGGGGACGAAACATCTACCCTAGCTCCAGCTCCACAACCAGGGATATTTTCTATGTATCGGTGGGGATCTGGTGCATTGGCATGAGTGTAGGGTTAGGCATGATATTGATCGAAGCTGAACAACAAGTGCTGCAAGGCGGGGTACAGGGACCTAGATAGATATTACTTTTCTATCTAGTGTTTTCGATCACTGTGCTTTGGCTCCTCCATCCCCTATTCCTCTTCCCTTCCTGTGCTTGACGCAGATACGTTTGACCTCTGGTTGGGATCCTACTCAGTTGTATACATTCTCAGAAGTTAAAGTTATCTAGTATTAGAAGTCTCCTGTGCCTCATACCGAGACTTGGGAGAGTTCACCAGCTGGAAAAGCTACCAAGGGTAGAAGTTAGGTTATAGATCTATACTGCTGTATCTCCACAGTCAGGCTGCGTGGGTCAAACACCCTGGTTCGGCTCCGGCTGAGGCTGGAGCAGGAATAAGCCTCAGCTGAATATTTTTTAACTGGAAGTGATAAGCTCTTATTGATCAATCCTGTCTGTAATCTTTTCTCTGTCCTATTAGATACCGACAGCATTCCTGGTGACAAACAACAAAAGTCGTCCTACTACGTGATATTTTGACAACGGTCCAAAATAAAGTCCTATGTAATGAAGGGAAGTTTAATGGCCTACCTTGATCTTCCAGCTCGCCTTTCAGACCAATGATTTTCCTGGTAGAAGCTTAAAAACTTGGTGGGTCTGCCCCTTACAACCTGTCATGAGAAGAGAGCTGTTGTTGCTGCGTGAAAAGTAGAAAGATACTTATTCAAAAGTAGAGGCTCGGAACGACAGCAAGAAAACATAGAATACACGCTACGAATCAACCGATTAATCCTTTCTCTTCTAAATTTTCTAGTAATTAAGCCAGGATGGATCGTTATCGGGAAAATACAACAGAGAATATCCCGCTCCTCAAAACGCCGGCCAATAATAAAACTCATCATGTCTTTGAAGAAACGGCAATCAATGGGACGCAAACAGACTAACATCTGATTGCTGAGCAACGCATATATGTACTCACCCTCGGACCGGGCCAGTCCTCACTGTCCTCCATTCTCGGTGGGATCTCCAGTGTAGTCGGCCATTCCTTCATCCTGCCCATCATTGTCTCCTGCGAGGACCTTGGTCTTAGGGATCTGGCCTTCAGGCAGTGGTGTACCCGGGGTCGCCGCGACGACGTTGTCGTTCTCATCCACAAATTCGAAGTTATACCGAGACAGTAGGTGAGGGATGGCCGATAGTTGTGGACCATAACGGGCGGTGTTGTCGTATAGTTCGAAAAGCGGCACAGCAAGAAGCTTCATGTTCTTCGGTACTGAGAGGACCTCTGGAAAAGGAACAAAGTCAGACAGGTCCAACATGAAACAAGTGCAAGAGTCAAGGCTCGAGACTCACTCTTCTTAGGCAGCTGAATGAAGTACAACTTTTTGCACTCCTTTGGCCGGGTAACATGACCAGGCAGGAAGGGATACATGAAGGTCTCAAAATTCGGCCGCCACCATTGCGCAAGTGTGTCGCCGATTTCCCAGTCCTCGTTGACGCCTTCTCCCGAGAATTGCGACCCGACAGGCGCAAGGCGCTCATTTAATCGCTTCTTGAAACCCTCCACCTCATCGTCTTCGAAGTGAAGATAGTCGCCGGGACTAGGTTGATGGTCAGTCTACGGTTCTCTGTGGTATGTCGCACTGCAGGCCACGGCAGTCGGTGTAGCTAGAGAAAGCAACACGTACAGCTTGAAAAAGGCATTGGCGATTTGTAGCATCAGCACGTGAGGATGGTTATGTTCGTGGCAAACAAGAACACCTTCGCAAGTCCGTCTCATGCCATGCTGCTCGTAATGCTCCTCAAGGCGCTTTAGACGGGCCAGGACTGAGGGGTCCTCCTCCGGTTGGGTTTCTTTGGTACCGAATGTGTAATTGGAGAGTGGATATAAACGGATCGTTTGAGGTTGCTGAGCGGAGAAATCTTTAGGGATGATAGGCCTGCGAGAAATGAAATATCAGTAACCGCCAGTGAGGACAGAAGCCGTGGGTAGGTTCGATAAACGAAGCAGAGACATACGGGCGAGAGCTTTGCATCGCCGTCGTCGTGGTAGTTGACATATTGGCGACTATCTGTTTTAGAAATGAAAGGTGCAGTGTTCGTGCGAGCTAAATTTCAAATAACTATAAAATTGAGTGAATTTTGGCGCCGCTGTGTTCAGTCGCAACTTTGATACGGCGGAGGTCTACCGGAGCGCTGATGGAGAAGCGGATGGAGTAAACCGTAGTTAGCTTTGTTATGGCCGTCGGACTCGCCCCGCGAAAACATTCCACCGCCCCGAGAGCGCTATTTACTTTACACCGATCGATGTTCGACACAACCAGAGCACATCAGTCCATATCCTTCCAGTTTCTAATAATCTATGTGAAGACAAAGTATCTACAATTCCTTTCATTATGCATCAGATTCTGATTGGTTTACCTTATTCCGCGAGCATTGAATAATGTTAAACCAACATCTGAACCGCTTGGTTTCTAAGTGGATCTACTACGTACATACCGAGATCCCATAGCTCCAGTAACCCCAACCGATGCCTTACCATCACCCACCCCAACACCCACATGTTCAATGCTGAATCTATACAGATTGACTATGTCTAACAGAATAAAAAAGAAAGAGAATACAGCTCTTAGATTTCACTCTTAGAGCTTAGCATCAAAGTCCTCATACTCGCTCAAGTCCGTCACTGGGCTCGGGCCAGCGCTGACAGCAAGGCGTGCCTTGAACTCGGAAACGTTGGTGATATAGGTCGGATCCTGGTTTTCTCCAAGTTTTCCAATGCCATTCGTCACGGATACTTCTTTGTTAGACTCAGGACCAGCTTGCTTCAAGTGCAAGGCTATGTTCTGTTCCGCCTGTTCAAGGATCGGCTTAATTTGCTCCTCGGACAGATTCACCTCAGAGGCAAGGAACGTCTTGAGGGCAGCCAAAATCTGACCCTCGTTTCCAGCGGAAATATCGAGTTTCTCGATCACAATCTTCAGGCGATCGTTATCCACAGCAAACCCGGCAGTCTCCAACTGCTTCGCAAGTAGCGACGATAATTCAGAGTTCTGCTCGTTTGGCTCTTTTGTATTGGCACCAGCCTGAGCCTTCAGGTGCACTGAAAGCTTACCCCTTGTGGTTGACTCAGGATCAATATACTGTTGATAGAAGTGGATAAGGTCAGATTTGCTCAAGGACCGGACGTTAGCAGCGTCGGACTCGTTCTGCAGGAAGTCGAAATATTCAGAACCAACATGGGTCCAGTACCGAGTGGTCTCAGAGCCCAGGTTCTTAAGTTTCTCTAAGCGCTTATTGACGACACTCCGTTTGTGGCCCTCGAATTCTTCATCCGACATCTCCTCCAAGACCTTGCCAAAGTTGCTCAGGAATGCATTGATTCTGGATTCCAGATACTGGGCAGTACGCTCACTCTGGATAATTACTCGATAACCGATAGTCGTGGCCGAATAACGTGCACCACTCCAAACGACGTAACCCAGTTGCTCCTTGCTTCGCAGTTGGTCGAACGCAGGCTCGTCCGTCATTTGGGCGAATAGCAAAAGCTTCGCTCGGAGAGCGTCGTCTGTCATATTTCCGACAAAAAGATAGTATTCTATGCAGTGATTGACGTTTGCGGGATCCTTCAGTGCCCGCTCATAGATAAAGTCGGACCCAGGAGGGATGATCACGTTGCGCCTTACATGCCATTGAGACTGGGGCAAGGGACGGCTCTTAAGGATGCTCTCCACAGAATCCGTCATCCGAAGGGCATCCTCTTTGTACACGTTTCCGTGCGCTAACACCTCGATATGATTCTGGCGGAGCAACTGGGGGAAGAAACACGAGATATCCTCAGGCTCGATGTGCTCCAGTTCAGCAGCATATTGCTCGTTAAGCCATGCTTTCTCGGCAGTCAGATACCGGGTGTAGTCGCCAACTTGATAGAATGGCTGCTGATACTCCGCGTTCTTGTATCCTCGTGACAAGCGCTCCTTAATGACGTGGAACCGGTCTGGGTTGACATCTAGATCACGCATGCTAGTGAGTACCTTCTCTAGAAGCACTGCCATTTTATCATTATATCCACCAACCGACACATCAAGCCCAAAGATACTGGCAGAAAGGTGATAGTCCAGTCCGGCAAGCTCAGCATCGTAGGAGTATTCCACCAAAGCATCTCTGACAAGTTCACAATAGAACTTCGATTTCACAAGGTTCGCAGGAGTAGCCCACACCAGTGGATTCCGGAGAGTGACATGGAGAGTGGCTTTAGGCACCCAAAACCGATCGTCCTTCTTAAACCAGAGTCGTACATGATCATCATGGCGAATCAGCTTTGGGGTCTTTGCTGGCTCCGAGGTCTCCTTCTTCTCCACGGAGAGTCGGGTGGGGACGAATTCGTTTTTATGGGGCATGTGCAGGTCAGAGAGCCTGGTTTCCGGAGTGCTATTCAAGGCTTCCTGAATCTCAGCCAAGAAGTCTTTCGGGACGTCCTCGACCTTGTATTCGGTGCCGTACCATTTCTCCTTAAGATCCCAGTCTCCCGGGTAGTCCTGAGCAACGACAACCATTCTGAAATTATCAGCGCGCAAGTACGACAGTGCCTTCTTGATCAACTCCGGGTTGTATCTCCTCAGGAGCGAGCCGCTGAGCAACCAGTCCCTGGGTAAGGGCTTCTGCATGACACTACTCAGGCGACTAGTAAATCGACTTGCCGGTGTCTTCTGCTTGAACCGGAATTCAACCTCGGCTAGATTCTTCATTTCGTCGAAGATCCACTGCTCGGGCTCCCGTTCCTTGATCAGCGCAATGTATTCAAACACCGCCTTTGCGACTTCGCGGTATTGCCGTAAACCCTCCTTTGTCAACCGTATCGAGACAGTGAAAAAGGCAGATCCAGGGCAAACGGGCATAGCACCAGCAGACAGGCCGTTGGCCCAACCCTTTGCCTTCACATAAGCCAGAATACTGCCGGGACCTTCATGGCCAATCAAGTGACTAATATACCGGCTTGGTTGGGACTCATACATATGCTCCTCGTCTATGAAAGGGAAGTAGAGGTCAAGCGAACGAGTATCCATTACAGGCTTGGCAAAAACCTGTTTACACATATCGTCGGCCAGCCAAGGCTGAACATTGTCCCAGCGGTTCTGTGGCAGATCTTTATTCTTTACGCCAGCAAAGAGATCTCCAACCCATTGCTCCATTTCATCCAATGTTTCACGTCCAAGAACCACCAACTTCATCCGATTAGATGAGTAATGCTTCTCATAGAATTTGATGAACTCATCGCGAACGTTCAGCCCGCGTTTTTGCGGCTCTTCTTTCAACGTCTGCAAATTTCCGGTGGAGAAATGGTGATACGGATGCGCTGGATTTGAGAGAGATTTGTTTAGCTGCATTAAACGCCACAGGTCGCTTTGTAGGTTCTTCTTGTTTTCAGAATCTACTGCCCTCAGCTCGCGGTCCAGCGTTGACTCTAAGAAAAGCGGCGACACGAAAAATTGTGCAAAGCGATCGAGAGCGCCATATAAAGGAGATGGTTTACTACTATTCGGAGATTCGGAGCCGCCTGTCTGTTCGGTAGGGTTTGTCCCGTTTGTCCTGTTTGTCGGGGTACTGTTGCCACTCGACGACCCATCACTCGACTCCGAAGTGGCAGACACTTCAAAAAAGTAGTTTGTCTCCGTGGCAGCGGTGTAAGCGTTAGACGATCCAGAATGGGATGCTAGATATTGGTTGTATGCGTTTTCTTTCGGATACTGTGTTCATAGCACAGGTTAGCTACCGGTCATGCGCTCAAGAAGAGGGACGAGGTGAGCACGCCAGCACGATCTAACCTACCTTTTCTGTTCCCATGAAGAGCAAATGCTCAACAGCATGAGCCATGCCTGGCATATCATCTGCGTCTGAAAAATTGCCAACATTCACATTGACAGCTGCGCTTGCTTTGTCCGTATCAGGGTCATGAACAAGAAGGGCCTCCAACTTGTTTGGGAGACGAATAACGCGGTACGAGCGGTCATCCAACTCCGGCTTGTCCAAATGCTCCGTAATGCGTTCTATCGAGGCCATGGCTGCAGTTCTGGTGGAGAATGGAGCACGAATCGACAAGAGATGGGAATGATGAGTGCACACACGGGATGACCAGGGAGAGCGATGCGAGAAGAACCGTGGCGAAATCGATGAAGGAGAGACGATCGCCGCAAGGGCGCCGGAATGTGCAATCGAGCGATAAACTGGAGTAAAAAGTGAGGGACTCCTAGCGTTCCACAGGCGGAGGGCTGCAGAGGACGGGGACCTTGGAGGCATGCGAGAACGGGAGTATCTTAAGAAGCCGCTCGAGCGAGCTGCCGGCGGCGAACTTATGAATGTGGCCACCGGGTCAATGCGGGTCCACGTCACTTGGATAAGGCAATGGTCCCCACAAAGAAACTTTACAATGAGAATAGGTTATGCCGAGGAGAAGTAGTAAGAAAGAGGTTGGGAGAAAGAATGACAACAATCACGACATTTCAACAATGCTGTTCAACACAAGGAACCATTGGATGATGATTAATAGCAGGGCGGTGAGGCGGGGATTCCCTCGGGTTGCAGGCGGTGAAGCCTCCCCACAATAATGCATCCCAAAAAAGGGCCCTCTATCAAGACCATCACTGATCAGGGTTAGTATACTTTTAGGCATGTACATCTCAGTTCAGGCAGTGTGATATGTTTTCCAGATACACAGGGTGATATGCTCCCACAAGACTGTCTTGCGCAGTGAGTCAATCTCTAGCAACGGCCATTTCTTAGTGGCAACCGGGCTTCCTTAGGATATGCCCTGTTCTATATAAAATTCGTCAATATCAAGGTCTATCTTTATGTTCAAAAGGCAGCTGTTGTAATATAAAGCCACCTGCGTGTAACTTGGCAGTATATTCTCATAACCATCATTAACAAGAGCTCATCGTTTCTTAGGGTTTACATAACTGATTGTTATCTCATTTCACACTTCTTTGGAAGGATTCAACATATTCACAAAACTTGTTTCTCCCCAAATACTCCATTTTTTGCATGGTGCTATAAAAAAATGACTCAGATGAGCCTACACCTCATTTACTTCCATTCTAGGCTGAAGCCAGGAAGAGATGGGTAAAGTATATTGCCTTCAGTCTTGTGTATCGTGGCTCATCTGTTAAGACTGTATTCTTTTGTCCTGATGACCAACATTGTTTGTGAATACTTCAGCCAGTACCAGGTAAAAAAAAGGTCAGTATGAATATGGCTTATAATATATGCTGGATCCTTCGTCCTTAAAGTGCAGCCTAGGCTCTCTGAGTTTCTTGAATGTGCTCTGAAGGGCGTAAATACATATGGAGATTTCCCCACATTTCGGAGTATCTATCCGCTCGGAACCCTCCTCCGGTGAAGTATATAAACCACAAATCACTACTTTCAAAAACCCATATATCAGCTCCTATTCAGATTAACTGCCAACTCCCATATACGCAATAAAATGGACGTACTCAACTCACTACGAACAAATGGCAGCCAAGTCCATTGCATTGACATGCACACCACCGGCGAGCCAACCCGCATCATCTACTCAGGCTTCCCCGATCTCGAAGGCTCACTTCTTTCCAAACGCGATCAAGCGAAGAATCAATACGATGACATTCGCAAACGTTTGATGTCAGAGCCCCGTGGACACGATGGTATGTACGGTGCTATCATCATCCCCGAGACGGAGCTAGTGCTCTCCGGGGAAGCTGATATCGGGGTTCTGTTCACCCATAATGAGGGGTACTCCACTATGTGCGGACATGCCACTATGGCACTGGGCCGGTTTCTGGTCGATACCCATGACCTGAATGTATTTCCAAGAAGAGAGACCTTGAAGTTTGATGCAGACAGCCAAAGTATTAAGCTTAACCTGCACGCACCTTGCGGGTTGATCAGGGTTACTGTGCCTACTACGCCGGACGGAAAGAAATCCGATCCTTCGCGATCGGTATCGTTCCTGTCTGTTCCTTCTTTTGCACCCGCTGTTCAACTTAAGATTTCCATCCCGCCGGAAGTTCGCTGGCCTGAACTTGGAACAAGGGACTCGATCGTTTTGGATCTCAGCTACGGAGGGGCGTACTACGCCCTCATCGATATCGAAGAGCTCGGCTTCAAAACCTTGAAAGATGTGGACCTCGATGCTACTACGCGATGTAGTCAGAAGTTATTGCCCTATCTCAGAACACATCCGGAAATTATTTCCGCAATCCAACACCCGGAGGACCCTCGTCTTTCGTTCCTCTATTCTATAATGATGGTGGACTCGAAAACAGGTTTCACCCCTGGCGACGTGGATGGTACGGAGACTGGGCTTTGCTACTTTGCCGATAGCCAAATCGATCGCTCGCCTACAGGATCTTGCGTCGCAGCGCGCGTGGCGTTGGCGTATGAGAAGGGCTTGAGGAAGCCTGGACAGCGCTGGGCGTATAACTCATTGGTGTCAAATAAATTTGGAGCCGGAGCGTTTACCGCTGAAATCGCCAGCGAGGATTCCATCACTAATACTCAGGGCAGGAGGGTTCGTTCTGTGGTTGCGAAAGTTGGCGGACAGGCCTTCTATACCGGAGCGATGACTTTCATAGTGGAAGATGAAGATGTGGTATCGAGTAGTGGATTCACTATGGCTGGTGTAGCATCGTGATATGCTCTATGTTTCCCAACGTTGTGTTGATACCCTCGTGGGCTGTCTGTTTATTTATGACATATCGGCTTTCTTATTGAGCAAGATACTTGAGGATATCGAATGAATTTGTATATAAATCTCCATGTGCATAACAACCTAGACAAGACCTTACGGGTGCTGAAAGCAAAAACGGTCCACAATTAGGGCTAGGACAGCCAAAGGACGAAAACTATTCCTCGCTCAAGGCAATGGAGATTCACATACTATGTCTAGAAAAGAACTATAGGGAAGCCAGCAATTGCGCCTGGAGAACATCTTGTGCTAGAGGGCCTCCAGCAGCTCATTTCTATATAACTGTTCACGGGAAGGAAAGAAGGGCTTTACCAGACCCCCGGAAGAGATATTTAGCTATCAGATGACTATCGTGTCTGCTCAAGAGAAGAGTCAGGGTGGGCATTTAGGTCCATAGAACGCTGATAGAGTCTGACAATCCTTCCTTCTGCTAGTCTGTTGACCTATGAAACACAGTCCTCCATTTCTGAAAATCCAGTCGCTGGCCCCGAGGCTGTAGTTGATCTTTAACACTCAATATGCGCATTCAAAGAAGGCAGAAGCCGGCGATGGCAGCGATTACAAAGAGGACCATAATCCAGGGCGAATGCAAGGGCTGATCCGTCAGTTAACTGTGCGCCTAGAACTCAACAACTCAAAGAAGCCAGTTTGGTCTATCTAGATCAGCGCCAGGTGCTGGGAACTAGTGTTTTGTAAAGAATTGAACTGGAGGGAGCAGAATTCCTGACTTTCCAAGATCTAGAGTTTCATATTGGGTTCGGAGATCTCAATCCCAAAACTTGTGCATCCATAGTTTATGTGAAGGCGAAGGGGGTTCTTATTACGTAGTGGTATATTTATTGGGCAAGGGTCCTCAGGCTCCACTTGCGGCCTGTGGCTGGGGGGTCAGCTTTTAGTTAGCAAACGAAATCAACTGTTCTGCCACTTGTCGCAACTTCTGGCCTGACAGCCTCTCCCTCCTGTACAACCCGTCGCAGTTCTTACTGCTTTACGCTATATGATTTATGATTTTACCACGCACCAAGTTATAAACAAAGTCGAATTCAGGGGGCAGGGAATACCACGGACGGTCGAGACCCGCGGCGGAATCCACCTTATTGCAATTTGCCCATCTCCTGCCGATCAAATTCCAGCAGCGCAATGATGACCACTGCTCTATCGACCTGAACTAGATTCAATCGTCCCTGTAAATACGACTGAGCTTTTCGATTTTCTGCCTGAACCCCATCCGAGTTGTTACCCCATCGTCAACACAATGCTATTCTGCGGCGGAGTCCAAGGTCCACGCCGTCGCAGTCGCGAAAAGGCCATTCTGGTGACGATGTTCATCATAGGCGCTTTGTACTTTCTGTTCTTCGCGAAGAAGTCGGAACACCGCCAATTTGTATCCCACAATTCAATGTCCCATGAAGGTTCACAGCAAAATTCGCATTCGGGGCAGGTTTCCCCGTCGCCGGTGCCAAAGTCGCAGACTCTCGAGAAGGACCTGGTCATTGCTAGTATGAAGAAGGACGACGTCTCCTGGCTATATGATAACTTTCCTGAATGGCATAAGAGTATCTACGTGGTGGATGATAAGCAGGCGGAGTTGACGGTGGACCTGAACAAGGGAAGGGAGTCTATGGTGTACCTGACGTAAGATAAACCCTTGCACAGGTTGTGAGCGTACGAAGGGCTAAATCTGCCACAGGTATATTATTGATAACTACGATAACCTCCCCGACGCGATGCTATTCATCCACTCGCAGAGATACCAGTGGCATAATGACGATCCCTACTATGACGGTGTCCCTATGCTCCGCAATTTCCAGCTCCCCTACCTCCTAAAGCAAGGATATGTCAATCTCCGCTGCGCCTGGGTTCTCGGATGTCCAGTTGAGATCCACCCGCTTACTGATACCCATCGTGACGACGTCCATGCAGGCGAGTACTTCAAGACTGGTTTCATGGAGCTTTTCCCTGGCGTCGAAGTACCGGAGGAAGTCGGGGTTTCGTGTTGTGCGCAATTCGGTGTCACACGATCGAAGGTTCTTGAGCGGCCGAAGAGCGATTATGTACGGTTCAGGAAGTGGTTGGCTGAGACGCCGCTGCAGGATGACCTTAGTGGGCGCATCATGGAGTATTCATGGCACATGATTTTCGGAAAGGGCCCCGTGTACTGTCCCACTGCCGAAGAGTGCTACTGCAAGGTGTTCGGGCTGTGCGACCTATCTTGTCCAAACCAGGGAGACTGCGCTGGACGCTACGTGCTCCCTCCTTTTTCTTCTCTCCCAGAGGGATGGCCGTATAAGGGCTGGAAAGGCCAGGACCAGGACCCGACCAAGGGATTGCCTGAAGCTTGATCATTAGCAAACTGATGCAGCCATTCCCAGTACAAGGAACGCGGTATCCTGTCAGGAAGCCGGAGACACATCGACCCTACCGTACCACGCCCGGACTAGACTATGCCTGTGTCTGCTTAAGCATGCAATATGTCGTGTCCACAGCCGATATGGCCTGATGGTAGTCGGTCATTGCCTGAGGCTTTGCCACCAGCCTATAGACGGCTCTCTACGACATGCAGATGTCTGTTCCTGGTCGAATGTGCCGTATGACTGGGGCATTGCCTGCTACACCTACCATCAGGACCCAACCCGCAGCGGTCGGACAGCCTGCTCTGTCTGTCAAGTCTCACTACGACAACGCTTCTACAAACCACTTGGGTCTACAGTTCTATTTCATGAAAGTCACGACAGATTGAATGCGGATACCTTAGATGACGAATTGTTTGAGTCAGAAGATTGAAGCTTCTAGACATACTATCTAGCTTCATTCACTACACACTCAAAAACATAGACAATGAGCATTTGCATGTAACAATATTAGTTAATTATCACAAGGGGCGTTAGGTTTTGGGCACTATAGGAACTCTCAACATGAATTCGACAATAATGAGCTCGTCTACTTTATCATGCAGTCTTTCTTCCTTTTAAATAGAGCATTCAAAGACATAAATGCCGCATTGTAATGCAAGACCCTGGTATTAATGCCCGTATGATAAGCCATCAGGTGGTATCAGTTCAGGTGTCACCAACATAAGAGCCGAGGTTAGTCTGCTTGTCAAGCTCTCCCCACATCTCCGATCCAACTCCGCCATCTTCAAGAACACACTCCTTCAACCTCCTCCAACATACACAATTCCTCATCTCCACGCCAAAACCACTCCATCGACACCCCACAACCCTCTCCACCAACAACTCAGACCAAACCCACCACAAGACGACCTCCCACCTCCCCGCAACTCAATTCCGAACCCCACCAACCCTCACCACCCTCGAAAGACCAACGCCCAAGAACCAGAACCAGAACCCCAACCCGCAAACCAAAATGCTCATAATCGGCCTAACAGGCTCAATCGCCACCGGCAAATCCACCGTGTCCAACTTCCTCTCCTCGCCCCCCTACTCCATCCCCATAGTGGACACGGACCTGCTCGCCCGCCAGGTCGTCGAACCAGGAACACCCGGCTACAAAGCAATCGTCAACTACTTCGGCCCCAGCACCCCCGACCTCCTGCTCCCGGCATCCCCAGATGATCCGACGGGGTCCAAATGGCCCCTGAACCGACCCGCGCTCGGCCGTCGCGTCTTCGGCACAACAGAGGAGCGCAAGCGCGATCGCATGATCCTCAATAAGATCGTCCACCCGGCTGTCCGGTGGGAGGTCTATAAATCCCTCCTGTACTACTATATCCGGGGCCACTGGGCGGTTGTCCTCGACGTCCCGCTTCTGTTCGAGAGCGGCATGGACTTCATCTGCGGGACGGTGATTGTGGTCGGGGTGCGGGATCCGGAGGTGCAGATGGCCAGGCTGCGTGCGCGCGACCCGCATCTGAGTGCGGAGGATGCGGAGAATCGGGTCAAGAGTCAGGGTGATGTGAAGGGGAAGGTGGAGAAGGCGGAGTTCCGGGGTACGCAGTCTGCGCGGGGCGTGATTGTTTGGAATGATGGGGATAAGAGCGATTTGGAGAGGGAGGTCAGGAAGGCTGTTGGTACCATCTCGGGGACGAGTCCCAGGTGGTGGGCTTGGTGTTTGCTTTTGGCGCCGCCGTTGGGGGTCGGAGCTGCTGTGTGGAATATGGCGGTGAATTTTGTGACGCAGAAGAGTTGGGAGAAGAGGGCTAAGGAGGAGAAGGCGAGATTGTAGATTTATTTATTTTTTTTTCTTTTCTTTTCTTTTCTTGTGCCGTGTTTGGGTGCTGTTTTTCTGGGATGATTGGCGCTGGTTTATGGGATTTGTGTCGTGTATGCGTTTAGCTGATGGAGTACTACAAAGACTATATCGTATGTTATACCCTTTTACTTACTTGGAACTTACTCTGGACTCGGTAGTTGGGTGTATGACTCTTATTACCATGTTATATGGAGAGATATAAGACGTGTTCAACGAAGAAGAAACATTCAGCAGCTGAACAAAGTCTTCTTCCAATCATACATACTACAACGCATACTCCCCGGCATATACATAGCGTGCCTATCGCCCTCTCCCAGACATCCCCATCCCCAATTTACCATAGTCACAAAAGCCCAAGCCATACCCGGAAAATACTTCCTAACCATCTAACCAGCCACCATTACTCCTACGCTAAGTACCATTGGAACTCAAGCATACTTTCAAAAACTCCGTCAACCATTAGTCACAATAACTCCGGCCACAATCAATGTGGAGAACTAGTTCGTAGTTCAGAGTTCATCGACCGGATCCAAGATATACACGACCCAGCATAACCACGGTTGAGAAGAATAGAGCAATTATGATTTGCTACACCGATTCCTTTAGATACAGAGTTTCATCATTATCACATAGATTTCCAACATTCATTAAGTAAGCCAGTCCCATGACCCAGACGTAAACATAGCATAAGGTTATTAACCGTGCCGAATTGATTCATGCAACCTTGTACAGTACCTGCGTTATCCATTAGCCCATCTTACTAGGAAGATCTGTGGCAAGGAAGGAAGGAAGGAAGGAAGGAAAAAACGAACCTAGCACTTCTCGGCACAAAGCTCCAGGACCTCGTCCGATCCACTCTGGCACACCTTCACCTGGCTACCGCCGGGGGAGACGCCCTCGGGCCAGCAGATAGAAGGACAGGAGGTGTCGGAGGGCTTGACGACGACGGCACTGCCGGAGAAGGGGTCGCCGAAGACATCGGACATGTCGTACCACACGCCGGCGTTGTCGAGCGTGTAGGCGAAGTTCAGCTGCGGGCTGCCGTCGTAGAGACCGTTGTCGACGGTGGTGACCTTGAGGGAGATGCCGCCGGAAGCGGCGTCGTGGCGGAAGGGCTCACTGTAGGACTTGCCTGGCTCGATGGTCTGCTTGGGGCCGACAGAGCCGCCGACGGACCAGACGTACACGGGGTGGTCGCAGGAGTTCTTGATCACTGCGTTGCCCACGGCGGCTGCCAGGGGGGTTAGGGCTAGGAGGGAGAGGGCTTTGAACTGCATTTTTGCTTTGGATGGGTCTTGGATTGAGTTGGAACTAGGGAAGTAATTGAGAGGGATGATTGTTGGATGTCAGGTTTGGGTGGTGGGAGGTCGTGCCTTTATATGTTTTTCTGATGGCCGAGGTTTTCAGAAGGAACTGGTTGTATTTTGCCTTTATTCCACTTGGGGCTCAAAGAGAGGAGAGTCAACGCTATGCTACCGGGTCTTTTTCCCAGACCGCTCATCCCAAGGTACCCTGCCCTAGCCATGATGGGTCGGTGGTCTGACGGAGGTTAGCTAACCTGATGTCAATACCCGAGTCGGAAGTATGGGAACTGAGACATTGTAGTAGGGGAAAGATCGCTTGGCCCAGTACTCCGTACGAACAGTGGAGACTTCCAGCAACACCAAGTGAGACAGTTACATCTGGGGCATCATCGCGCGCAGACATCCGCCGGAGACGAGGAGAGGTACCCAATGGCGATGCATTAGTCGTTCAGACTAGATTCGGGTTTAGCAGTGTCTGGTTGGCGATGTCTCAGGGTCATTGCAGTAGCTCGCCTCGCGTGGAAGCGGTGGTGATATCTTGGTTCGGTTCATTTTGGAGGTTCTTCGGATCTCGTATTTCGGCAGTCTATTGATAGCATATGAGGTCACTTGGAGGGGATTGTCTCTTGTCATATCCGGCGCCATCATCTGACTAGCGAGCCTTAGGCGCAAGACCGCGGTGGAGAATTAATTCCCGGAGGTTTAAGCACAGACGGGGTTCTGGTTACTGCAGCGCTCCCCCGCAAGGGATTCTTCTGCCATCAACGACTGGCACAAGTCATGGATGCAATGCAACGCCACCAATTTAATTCACTTTGTGGATCCGACGGAAGAAACGGATCCCAATCAGTGCCCTACATGTCTCAATGCTCAACATTCAGCATAGGTACATGCGATATTTCCGATGTTTGTTTTTTTCCTCATCAACACTCGGCCAGAGTAAGGCTCGGCAGATCGAGGGCGCAACCATAACACAGCCACAACTTGCTTGGAAGACTCCCAATATAACGTTGATCAGAAGATCAATATGCACGTCAAGAGCTCCTTCTGGAGTAAGAGATAACCACTAGTACTTACTCCCTCATACCAAGTCTCCGACTCGAAGGTGAAGTCCCAATCTGAATGCCCTATGTATTAGTCGCTATGTTGGGGCTTCGGGTTATTTTATCTCTACTCGAATCCCTAGCGTTACCATCATTGATCCTTCGTGCAATAAAAAGTTATATTATTATGTAACATTCCTGACCGCCAACCAAGATAATTAACACAAAAATGCGGTCATCGTTCAGGTCGGTTTGGCAAACACTTCGCCGGGCTTCGTTGGAGACCGACTTGATTGTTTTTCCTCCTCCGTCTCCTCACTCTCGTGTGTATCAGCTCGATCCTCAATCCACTGGAACACTTCCTCTTGGTGATGCACCAGCATCTCACTCAGTCCTGACTTGCTAGACTGGATCAAGTGCCCGTAGCGCTTCGATGGTTTGCGCCGGTTTTCAACCGTGTTCCAAACGCCATGGGTGTGCGAAACGAACACAAGAGAATTCTGCGTTCACATCAGTACCGCTTCAGGACGGAAACTAAAATGTCAACAAACTGGAGCGCATACATCTTTGTACCATCTTGACAGCCAAACCTGAGTATGAGAGGCAATCGCGCGGACTGGGTTTTCGGCAACGAATGATATAACGCCATTCACTCGTTTATACAACGTATCTATCTCCATATGAGCAATGATTGTCCACGTGGAAACGAAGGAATTTACCTCTATTGATCAAAAGATTGGCGACTCCGTAGAAAGCATTACCGATTCCAAGAAGGAAGATTTCCGTGGCCTCATTGGGTCTACATCGGTTATTAGCTGTTGGGTCAAAACTCACTCTCATCTTTGTCCCACTCACTCAATGTAGTTATCCCAGAGGTATGCTGCCAGTTCCTCGGTCGCTGTGGGGCGGTTCTCTTCCTCGTCTTCATATTTCCCGGACTAGACAGACACGTTAATGGAAGCCTAGAAATCGAAGCGAGGCGGATACTCACGGGCTCGATCGTCACATGCTTTGGGATATTGACATCCATTACAGCATACCCTTTTCCAACAGCCCATCCGATATAGTCTTTCATGGAATCAGCCTTCTCAAGTTAGCATGCTTTGAACATCCCAATAGGGGTCCACGTACAAGCCAGCAATTGTGGGCTTCCAACTTATTCGTAACGGGATGAGGCAATCCCATGATTTCCGGTCTATTGAATAGTCAGGCTAACTTGGCCGTCTCAGTTCGCAGGATAAGACTAACGGGTCATGGAATATCACCAGGAGTGGATTGCGTTGGTAATAATTCGGTGTGGCCAGAACTTGGTTCTCGAAGGACTTGGAGATGGCAGTTCGGTAAATGTAAAGTGAGGTGAGCTTGTAGTTTTCATAGAGTCGTTTGGACTGGTAAGCACGAATAACATCTAAAGACTTTGTTACCCCCAATGCAGCACTTATACCCTGGCCTTTTCTACCTACCATGTAGCCTATCTGTCCAGAGTCCCTCCTCCTGCGGCGCTTTCGGGTACATACAACTCCAGAATTGGGACTGGATCATCATAACTCGTCTTACGGTAGTCGTTGCGAGTTTTGAAGGGAGGGTTGAATGGAGCCGGTCAGGCGGGTCTCCCATAAGAGTCTTCGTGACTGCGAGTGCCGACTTTGAGATTGATCTGAAGTTGTAGCCACCCTACAATGATCAGTGTCAGGCCAAACGGTTGATCACAGCACCAGAGTATGTTTAACTTTACCTCTAGGCAAACAGCAACCTTTCCATTTGCGAGGGTCATAAGCATATGTGTCATGTGAGCATAGCAGGTGGGTGTGACGAAACAACCTCCCAGCTCGTCACCCACAGCGGCATCAAAGCCAGAGGCGACTATAACGCATTAGAACCCAAATTCTCCTCGTTCTGATTCAGGGTCATCGACAGATGGTTTACGTACCTATGACCAAATCGGGGTTGAATTCCTGTGCAATGGGCATCACGACTTGTTGAAAGGCATACATGTAGTCGCCATCGCCCATTCCCTGGCTCGGCCAAGGTATGTTCACGTTTCTATACTATACTGTTAGCGAAGAAACGTGGGTAACAGATCTCTAGCATGTAATCCATACCGTCCATAGCCAGCACCAGTACCGCAGTGGTCCCAGTCGCCTTCATCCCCTCCAGGATAGAATTTTCCATCCTGATACACATGGAGTGAGATATATAAGACATTAGGGTCATCGTAGAATGCCTTCTGGATACCGTTGCCTATATCGTGTAAGCGTCTGTTTCCTGTACCATAGATACTTTATTTGTCGACGCTTTACCATGGTGAACATCCCTAAGCTGATCAGTACCTCTTAAACCGGTGATCACGTCTTGAGTACTCACCAATCAAGAATGAGGATCTTTCTGCATTTTTCTCCTAACTGTTTCTGACATACACGAGCCGCTACAGATACGTTGTTAAACAGGCAGAACCCCATAGTTTTGTCATGTTCAGCATGGTGCCCTGGGGGCCGGATAACAGCAATAGCGTTCTTCACTTTCCGTGTGGCAACAGCTAAGCATGTTTCAATTGCTCCTCCGACGGACAATAGTGAAGATGCGAAGGTCAACTTATTGAAGTATATCGAATCACGAGTATGTTCAAGCGCAATAAGCTCATCATCAGTCATATCTGTCAGATCAGTCAGGGACGTCTACAATTTCTAAATGAAACTATTTTTTTACCTTTTGTACTTTCAACAAATGCGAAATGATCTGGAGTGTGGACAAGAGATATTTCTTCCTCGGTAGCATTGCGGACACTAATCCGTTTCATAGGTCGTGAGACAAGCGGCCTGGATGATTCTGGGTCGTCAACGAGCCCAGCTCGGCATAGCTCCTTGTAGATATAATAGATTCTCCTCGGGTCCTCCGGGTGGACATCTGCCGTTGGACGCACTTCACAATGGTAGCGCATCTGGACGTCATAACATAGACCGGAAGGAAGTTGAGCAATGGGAAGGCCTCTAATGGCAACGGCATCTTCACCCTCAGACCACTCGGAATTTTCCTCAACGAGGCTATCATTTAGCTGGACGAGATCTTCTGCGGTGGCATCACCAGAGCCAGCTGATTTTGGTAGACTCTTGGGCGGTGACATTGTGTGGTTGTCTGCTGCAGCAGTTGGCTGGGAGCTTTGCACGCTAGCAACTGACTGGACAGGCAGCTTGAGAGATTGGCCTAGGAGGGGTGGTACGAGCCACGGATCCGATCCTCCATTGCTATGGCTAGCACCATCATGAGTGAGATGCTGCGAGGGAGCAGGGTTGGGGTTATGAGTAACCGCCTCTCCCATGACAGTGTCTTCGTCCTCTTCCACAGCCATTGCACAGAAACCTAGACGAGTCGGTCTATTTCTGTCTCTTAGACGTCTTCTGTTCACTCTAGCATGCCATAACCAAACCTGTCGTCTTTGGGCAATTACGTCAGTCTCACAAGACCCCGAGCTTCCCTGGGCAAGATACCTCGTCGATAAAGAACAACTCGAGAAGTGACCAATAAGGGTCGAGCGCAAAAGACATAAAACAAGTGAAATGGGCAGTACAATAACAATAAGGGATATAGGAATGAAACAAGAGCCGCAAGCTGTACTAGGGTATAAGGCAGAACAGTAGAGGTAGTTTGCGTTGAGGAATATCAAACCACAACTGTGGAGGAACTACTAAATACTAGTAGTTCGAAGGCCTAGAAGCTCAACAACGAAAGCCTGTGCTAGACCAGACCAGGGCGATCTAAGACAGATGTTCGAAAAAGAAATAAAGTCCTCACCAGCCCAAAAGAACCACAGGTAAAGGTTGATCTACTACGTGCACACCAATATAGGTGTTCTGGTGCACGTCCTGGAGTCTTGGATTATGTACTCTGCTCCTTGGAGAAGCCCCAAAAAGCGTGGTTACTTAGCTTCCGCACGTGACTACAGCTGGTCATAGACACCAAACAGGCCACTTGCACCTAACGGCAGGAAACCTCACCACTATTAGGCTTGATATCGGTTCGTATGGCTAACGGAGATGAATCGAACTGGAGATTAGAATCAAGATAGTGAACGGACGTAAGTGAGAAGTTTTTCAATTGTCTATCTCCCGCATTGACAATTTCCAACAATCACTTGCACCCGTCCGAGAATTTCCCGTACTTCGCCGAGACCCATCAGCCAACCAGGCTAGCCACGAGCATACTACCTCTGTGTATATATTCTGGAACTAATCTAAACCACCTGTAATTGAGCCTACTCCCAATAAATACGCTAGTATTTTAGATCTAGTGAAAAGGACTGGTCAGGTCCGACTTGTATCCAGTATGAACGTCAAATCATTTCATTAAATAAGTACGTTATCATATGCTTTTTATGCGATATGTAGATCCCCGGTCAACAGGGCACTTTGTTATCCCACAGGCCAATTTCTCGGGGTGGTGACCTGATAATCCGGGAACGTGGAACAGTCAGGGGACTAGAATGTTTTGTCTATAGAACACTTCTAGTTTCTGGTCTCCGTCCTGATTCCTACTGGCTATCGACCTTGGAGATGTAGGCTAAAAGAGAACCGTTAACAAAAGTTCAGAAAGTCCGGGCTCAAGCCTGGAATGACTTACCAATGAGGTCAACAACACGGCGGGAGTAGCCCCACTCGTTGTCGTACCAGGAGACAAGCTTGATGAAGTGGTCGTTGAGGGCGATACCAGCCTTGGCATCGAAGATAGAGGAGTGGGCATCTCCGCAAAGGTCAGAGGAGACAATGTCGTCCTCGGTGTAGCCGAGGATGCCTAATCAAGTTAGTAAATATTAAAAGTATGGAAAAATAAACGAAGGATTAAGCTTACCCTTGAGGTCACCGGACTCGGAAGCAGCCTTGATGGTCTTCTTGATGTCCTCGTAGGAGACGGCCTTCTCGGTACGGCAGGTGAGGTCGACAACGGAGACGTTGGCGGTGGGCACACGCATGGCCATACCAGTGAGCTTGCCGTTAAGAGCAGGAATGACCTTGCCGACAGCCTTGGCAGCACCAGTGGAGCTGGGGATGATGTTCTGAGCGGCAGTACGGCCACCACGCCAGTCCTTGGAGGAGGGAGCATCGACAACCTTCTGGGTGGCAGTGTAGGAGTGGACAGTGGTCATGAGACCCTCAACGATACCGAAGTTGTCGTTGATAACCTTGGCAAGGGGAGCAAGGCAGTTGGTGGTGCAAGAAGCGTTAGAGAGGACGTTGATGTCGGACTTGTATTCCTTGTTGTTGACACCCATAACGAACATGGGGGCATCAGCAGAAGGAGCGGAGATGATGACCTTCTTGGCACCACCCTTCAAGTGAGCGGAAGCCTTCTCGGTGGTGGTGAAAACACCAGTGGACTCGACGATGTAGGCAGCGCCAGCCTGACCCCAGGGGATGGCAGCGGGGTCACGCTCGGCGAAGAAGCGGATCTTCTTGCCGTTGACGATGAGGCCCTCCTCGTAGGTCTCAATGGTACCCTGGAAGCGACCGTGGGTGCTGTCATACTTGAGCATGTAGGCCTACAGCGTGGATATCTAGTTAGTTCAAGGACGTTTTCCAATAAGACATCACTCTGGATGATCATGAGAGGCACGTACAGCATAGTGAGTCTCAATGAAGGGGTCGTTGACAGCAACAACATCAACGTCACCGTGGGCGATGCTGTACAAGAACACTTAGTTAGAAGCTTTCCCCAGTAGAAAAGGCTAGAGTGGGCAGTCCCATTGATCGGGTACCGGTCTGGACCATGGAGGATCCGACCATAGCCTGGGAGGCGAATTGGATCACTTACGCGTTACGGAAGACCTGTTACCTTGTTAGTCTCAATGAAGTATTGCCATGTCGTAGAAAGGATGGGCAACTTACAATACGGCCAATACGACCGAAGCCGTTGATTCCAACCTTGGGGGCAGCCATTGTTTGGATGTGTCTGTTAAATTGGCGGGGTAACTGTCAGTCAATCTGTGTGGGAAGGGAAACGGTAGACACTAGGAAGTGGCTCTGATATACAAGATGCAAAGGGGACGATGGACGGGAGACGACTCACTTTAAGTAAGAAGACAAAGGGATAAAGTGATTGCAGTGGTGTGTATACGAAGAGAGTAGAAAAGGGGAGAAAAGTCGGACGGCGGGGGAGGGGGAGATAAAAAAAGAGCGATGTTGACTGACGCAACGACCAGGTCACTAATCCAGTCACCGGGCGGACAGACGCGGCAAAAGCTCCAGCTCTCCTCAAGATCCAGAGTGAAACGGGTCCTTGTCAGCTGTTTTCCCGGCTTGCGCCGCTCCCCAGGTCTCAGCAGCCCTTTCCGGTTTCATACACCGGGCAAAGCAGGAGACTCACGATATTTGGGACTCTGCCTCTCCTCGGCAGCTACCGGTCTGGCCAATGAGCGTGCCTCAAACCCAGCATGCCGGGTACTCAATCCTACCATCTCGTGAATCTTTTGCCAACTTTTCGGGATCGAGGGGTCAGTACTACCTAGGCTACGAGGAAGACGATCCCGGCTATTACTCTATCTTTTTGTCCTTCGTTCCGTAGTTCAAACAATTGAGGGGAGAACGATACCCTGGGGGCCCATTCCTGAGGCATCCCCATAGAGGGGCATGATGTAATTCCAATCTGGCCATACACAGTACTACATAATTCTACCTACATTGGACCACCGCATCCCACCCAAGCTTAATGGAAAAATGAGGGGCACTCGGTTTGACCTTTCCGTTTCCAGGTCGACATATCGGACCGGATCAACTATGGTCCACTGCCCCTCTTTCCTCTCAATACTCACATCATGGCTTAGCGATCTCATCTTAGCCTCTTCTGTTCTCCTGATTCCTGAAAAGATTCACCGGTAGGCAAATGAGGATCACGCGCTTGTCATGGTTTGGTACTTTTTAATTTTCAATTAATCATCTTCTGGAAATCTTTTACTGTTGTTGATTCGTTTTAGAAGAAAAAATCTAATTCAAATTTTCCGCCTGTTGGGGAACCTAGATCCCCAATCTAGAACTTTGCATGAAACTGTACTCGGGGTTTGAGCCAATAGTCTTGTCTCTTTCTCGGTGATTTGATACCTTGTATGAAGTATCACTCGCCATGCATACAAAACACATAAAACGTCATGAGATGGACTCAATGTACTTGTCATGTCACACAGTCAGGCGATGTTGAATGACATCCACTTAAAACATGGCTAGTTTAGTCCAATTGAAACGATCTGGCCTAAATATATTACCCTCAGATCTTGTTTATACTGGACGCCGCTATGGAGTAGTATACATGCAGTATACGATTACAGACTCAGTATCAAGCCATCAATCAATCCAGACTCTACCCCACTCTTATGTAACCGGCGTCTAGATTAAAACAAATCGTCGATCTAAACCATTGACAAGGTCATCCATCATCCAACCCTCAATCCATTCCCACACCCGTGGGAAAGGAGGGTGAGACAGCATAACAACATGGCCACTAAGCTATAATATCCAACAATTAAGATACAGAATCAGTACACTTGCAGGCTAGGTCGGACCACGGTGTGGCATGTCAACGTACCATCATGATTTTTCTGAGTTCCAAATTGAACTTGGCAACTCACCAGTGTTTCATCTGTCAGTTGATTCGCCATCTGGAGAACTCAGTAAAGTTAACATGTCCTAGATAAGGGTAGATCTGTTGAGACTGGGCCATGGATTTAGCGTCTCCATGTTCGACCCAACCTACTCCATACATATAGCCACAGCACTGACGTCTATACACTTCTTCACTGCTCGTTATGTTTTACGTCGAGTTCATGGCATGATAGTAATTGCAGGACAAGGGCCATACTAAAATCAGATGAGAGCAATAGAAACCGCACATGCAGGTATCTCAAGCCTTGTTGCGGGCCATTCTCTATCAACCTATGAAGAAAACGGTATACAATCACAAAGATCGACTAGATGCATGTCCAATATTTTCCTCGAGAAAAGTACCAACAACATTATCTCAGCAAGGCAAAAGGATTCCAATTTGGTCCTGCTCCCACTCAATTTACATCGCATCTATAGAATACAGAAGGAGCAAAGCCGTGTACTAGGTACTCTAGCATGCTGTCCACAACAACCAACTGTCTACTCTTCCTTGACACCACCCCTCCAGTTCTTCTCCGCGTTCTCAACGGAAGCCTTGTCACTTTTGATCTGACCTTGGTTCAAGAAGCTGTTGGCAGCCTTGAAGGGGCGTGCGAGGTCACCAGTAGCGGGCTTTCCAAAGACGTGGATCTTGACCAGATTCGACTCCAGAGCACTCTTGAGGGGAATGATCGACTGGATCAGGAGAGGGTTGGTGTACTTGAAGTACAGGTGCATCACACACATCATACCGACACCCATCAGTTGTCCCTTGAACAGCTGGCGCAACTGCCCCTGGTCGTACTCCATGTTGGTGGTGGTCACCGGACGGGGCTCCTCGTTGCTACCGAGAGGAGCGGGCTCCACGTACTTCAACGTAGCCATATCTAGTAGCACCAATCAGTTACCTATTTGCGGTGGTCACAGAATAAAGCGTGGACATACCCTTCTTGCTCTTGATCTTGGACTGCGTGTAGAGATAGATACCCAAGATAAGCACGTTGGACAAGACATACATGCCACGGACGATAAGAAGAACATCAGGGTCATCAAAAGGGATCTTCTTGGCCAGCTGCATGGCCACCACGATGATGGCCAGGTTGGTACTGTGTGATTGATTGATGGTAAGCATATATTCCAACGTAGAGTAAACCGTTTGTCGCAGATATTTAAACAATAGTTACAGCATATGGCACATAGTTACTTACATTTGAGGAGACACCATGTTGACTGCAGTATTGAGTGACCCTTTTGTGACGAAGCAGAAGCAGCGCGAGAATAGCTTGAGCGGATGGGTGAAGGATTGGCACGCGTGCAGGGACAAAATCTTCCTCAAACTGCGGAACTGGACCCCCGGGGAAGTCGGACAGCTGTCCAGATAGGCACTGAGGCACGTGACAGGAACTACGCCTAAAGGAGATTCCCGCAAATTGCCACAAGTTCACAGCCTGAGGCGATAGAATCACAGTAATAAGGCATCTAAATCACCTGTTTGCTTAGATAATGCACTGAGCAACCATCATGCTTTGCACCCTTCGCTATTAACGACAACAGTGATCCTGTGCTGTTGATGAACGTCCACTATACAGCCTCTCTGTACAATGTCAGAAGCTCTGGACAAGGTTCTCACACTGCCAGAATACATTAAAGACTATGTCGCATACCCAATAACTTACCCTGCCTCAGAGCTGAGGTGCTACTGAGTGACTCCTCAGCTATGGCACAGGCCCTCATCACTAACGCCTATAACTCTCTTTTCCTTTTGGACACTGTATCAGACCATGTGCCATCATTGGGATGTGCACTTGCAATTGAACACTGCTTAGCTGCTTTGTTCGTGTCACTAATTGATCAGCAAGCTCGCCTTCCAGACGTCCTCCATCATCTGGAGACTTAAGATGATGTTCTGGGTTTCCTAATCCGTACTAGCGCCCTTTCGCGCTCAACGCCGTCTTTAGCGACCAGGATGGCTTTGACATTTCTGACTCCTTCATCCATCAACAACGCGCGTGCCGCTGGTGTATCGAATCGCTTCAACGTCCACCATCGTGCTCTATCACTTCAAACACCCATTTGACGCGACATTTCCATCTCTGCGACCTTAAATCTCGACGCTTTTCAAAATGCCTGGTGGAAAGGGAAAGTCTATCGGCGGCAAGGCTGGTTCCAAGGACTCTGCGGGGAAGGCTCAGAAGTCCCACAGCGCAAAGGCCGGTCTGCAGGTCAGTAGACGTATCTTTCTTGTTGTTCCTGCGGTACTCTCGTTGCTGCTATGCCCGGCAACTCGCGGGAGCGTGTGAGAAGCCTCTGGTCTCGAAACTTTTTTTTCCCTTTCTCACTTGCCCCTCGCTCTGGTGTATTACCTCTTTGTCGTCTTCAATCCTACGTGGCATATGTCAAATGATTGCAGTCAGGGCTCCATGGTGTCGCCAGGAGTGGGACATCCGGGCGTTTCCAGAAGACCTTCATCAATAGCACGCTAAATTTAAACCTTTTGCAATCGATCATAAGTACTGATTAATGTCTGCTTCTAGTTCCCTTGTGGTCGTGTTAAGCGTTTCTTGAAGAACAACACGCAAAATAAGATGCGCGTTGGCGCTAAAGGTAAGGTTCATCAGTCGCAAACTATGTAGCCATGGTTTGTCATCTTTCATGCGCATCACTAACGAACAACCAACTAACAGCCGCTGTCTATGTTACCGCCGTGTTGGAGTACTTGACTGCTGAAGTTCTCGAGCTTGCCGGAAATGCCGCCAAGGACCTCAAGGTCAAGCGTATCACCCCCCGCCACTTGCAGCTTGCTATCCGTGGAGACGAAGAGTTGGACACTCTCATCCGCGCCACCATCGCTTTCGGTGGTGTCTTGCCACGCATTAACCGTGCGCTGCTGCTGAAGGTGGAGCAGAAGAAGAAAAACAAGACTGAGGCTTAATTTACGGCGGATACCCCACGAATATGGCGTTTGAAATGATGACGATTGAAAAGGACTCCGGGATATGTCTGTTACAGCGATCGACCTTTAGCTGGTTCTAATTCAACTCCGACCAGTGACAAAAGAAAAAAGAAACATTCAAAGAGGAAAGGGAGAACTGGGTGAATAAGCATCTTTCATGACAGGGATTTCCAACAGACGCATCCCCAATCTCTACTCTTCCCTACCCCACGACGCTGCAGTTCGCGATTCTTTTCTCTCTGGTGCTCTGTTTTCCTCTTATCTGCTCCGTTCATACCGTTTGTCTCGAAATACCAGGGCGCTGTAATGGGAAAAGGGTGATATCTTGGTAGTGGGCTTCGATTTATTTTCAACTTTCCTGTTTCCCTATTGTTTCTCCCCTATTCTTTTTTTCCCAGTGAACTTTTATTCTAATTGATTGACGGTGTTGAGTGCTTCCGAATTATCCACCTCAGTTACCATTACCACGATGTCTTTCTTAAACTTGACGGACTTGTATTGTATGAGTATAGTTTGCTCTTTTGCGAGAAGCTAAATAAAAGATAAAGCCAGACCATACTCCCGGTATTCTACAGGATGTCTGTACTCTTCAAACATTGAACCATAATCTGGGGCCAGGAGTTCCCGACTATGTATAACATTATGAGGGATTTATACATATTTACACCAAAAGGTTTTCTTGTAATTTGCTTGCTATTATCAGAGGTCAAGGGCAGTATCAAGTGATACAGTTTTGCCGCTGAAGAGATGCATCATGGGAAACGATCAACCATGATTGGACTGTTCGAAACCCGTTCACTTGCATCGCAGAAAGAACGGGCTGGTGGGGAATGTAAACCAATTGATAGTTTTACAGGTCGGAATTATGCGAATCAGGTAGAACATACATTTATTGGCGATCTTAGCAGACAAGAGTACTAAAGCAATACGGAGAAAGAAGATTTCGGGAAATAAAAGGCATATTTCAAACAAGGCCCTGACAATACAAGGGCGATTAAAAGGAAAGCGAAAGAAGAAAAAGTAGAGATCTGGTTGCATCCGGAGACCGAACCTTTCCAGTGGACATACGACAGGGAAACGGACTGGACTCATTAGATCAGTGTAAATCACCCTGGAGTTGGGAGTACCTATTAGTGTAAAATAGGACTCAGTCCGTAGAAGGCGTCAGTTCTCTAGACACCAAAATCCACCCAAACTTGTTTTGTCACAATCCCTCTTTCCGCCACGCCACACATTGCAGGCCAGAGCTGAATTGAACATGCAAGCCAAAAGGGAGCAAAGAGAAAGAAACGTATCAAGAGATCCCGGCAACAAGCACGTTAATTCACTTGGCAGAGGCTCAGATGCCTGTGGAAAGAGCGTATAGCGTGGATGGTCGAGACTGAAACAAGCAAACATTAAACAATGCATGGCGCCCCATATACAAAGTAATCCAAAGATGCAAATGCTGGTATGTCATCTCTCTTGCCATGGTAAAAAGACATCGGTATTTTTGTTCGTCCTTTCATCATCTTCCTGTAAGTTAAAAAAATTTGCTTTCCACCGACACAAACTGCGAAGAAATAAAATATAGATAAACAAAGATTTCTGGAAGGCGCCCCGCGTCTCATAAAAATTCAGGAGCTTTCGTTCTTTTTCCGTTTTTTTATTTTGTTCCGAGAAGTAAAGAGAAACATATAGTCCGTTTAAACAGCATGCCTGCTGGGCTGCCCCAAAATAACGTCTAAAACTTGGCTAGATCAGAGAAATTTCTTTTGTGGTTCTCTTGGTGAGTGTCATCTCGTCATCCCTCATCGAATCGTAAGCCAATAATCGCAGAACAGGATCAGGCCTCGTGATATAAGAGTCATATGCGTCTTGCGGCAAAGCAATCTAACAAGTTTCGTCGTTTTTCATCTCCCGTCAAAGTTGTTTACTCCACAATGATTTCCACGCCAGAGTTGGTCCGCAATTCGTCGCTGCCACGCGATTGGTGTCCGTTTTGGCGTCGAAAACCTGGGCCCTTTTCGGGCAGGGGGCCTCTCGGCTGCCTAATTGGCACGCGCTCCTGTGACTGTCCGTCAAATCCAACTCCGATGGATCGGTTACTACCGATGGGTCCAGCACTGGAAGGTTGACTTTCCGGCTGTTCCCAAGAAAACATACCCCGCAATCTCCGTGGGCTTGAGCTAGGCCCACCAATTCCAGTTCCCAGAGAAAGGCTGCTGAGACTGTTCACTAACAAATTATCATCCCGCGGCATGCCCAGAGACGATCCAGATGGGGCAGGCGTAAGCGTCGGGGTGTTCGAGGCGCCGCTGGTGGCACCATCATAATGCTGGAGACGTGCGCCATTGGACTGCAGGGCCGCCGGGAAGCTCGCGGACGAAGGTACTGGCGACGGCGTGTAGGAACGCAAGTCGGCGAACGACTTCGCTGCACGCAGATTCTGGGCATTGCCAAAATTGCCTGGGGAATCGAGAACACCAAGGAACCCTGACGCCTGTCCCCGCAGGGTGTTGTAGGGGGCAGGACCGTCGTTTCGTGCTTCGCTAAAATCAATCGTCGCTGCGCGGTTCAGTCCGCGACGAGCTGTTTCGGCAGGCTGGACTGCGGCAGGAATCGATGACAATGGAGGGCTCACATTGGTGCCAGGAGCCACCTTAAACACATGCACCTGGCGCTGTTCCCCAGATCCACGAGAAGCGTGACCCAAGCCCATGTTATGAGCAAGAGTGTGGACGGTGCGACGCTGAACTGGGGAAAGGTTTGATGGGAAAACCAATGTGTCGCGACTGGTATCTTCCTTGAACAGGAGAAGTTGAGAGTAGTACGAGAGCGTTGTGCTGTCATTCAAGTCGACCTCTGCAAAAAGTAGAGTGTGGTTAGCGCTAGCCATCGTTGAAAACACGGGCGTCATCGAAAACAAAAACTAAGAGAAAACTTACCTAGCTTCTGGCCACGCTGAGAGACGGGCGACGGCGATGTTGCGGGAAGATGGGAAGTCAGCGAGGACATGGAGCTCTGGGTTTGAAGCTGGGAGGTCGCCATGGGCCGATGCTGTTCTTCCAACTGGCCCCGACGTTCGCGCTTCTCGCGTTCGATGCGTTCGCGCTCTTGAAGCGGCAGCATCTTCTTATACTCGACCCGCAACTTCCGCCCTTGAAGCTCAAAATGATTCAGAACCTCGATGACTGTTGCTGTTTCCTCCGCAGAAGTAAAGTTCGCGAATGCCAGTCCTCGAAACACGCCGTTGTCAAAGTGGTAGTTGAACGCATACGGCAGCGGCAAATTCAGCTCAGTCATCAGCTGCACGAGCTGCTCCTTCTTAACGGCGAAGGGAATATTCTTGATAACGATGGCCGTCGGAATCAACTCATCGTCGGCCTCCGAGGATGCGGATGCTTCTGGGCGCATCGCGCTACTTTGAAGGGGCCCAGGTCCAAGATTCGAAAAGGTACTAGGCATACCCGGCTGCTGGTCAAGCCAGGTCTACTCTCATGTATTAGTCAAACCATGCACAGGGTCGTTTCGAGTTTTGCGACACTGTACTTACCGTCGGCAAGCCGGACCTTCCTGTGCGAGACGTAGTCTTCAAGCTGGTGGAGGCGGACCGAATGGCTCCAAGAGCCTGAGGGTTGGCAAAGCCATTCGGGTTCCAAGTCTGCGAACCGGAAAGATCGTAGGCATAATTGTTGTTGTGCAGCGAAGGGTTCAGACGCTCCAGACGGCCAGTCTCATAGCGAGACATAGGATCCTCGTACAGATTTACAGGCATAGGGCCGTACGCGTCAAACTGTCGCGAAGGCTGACGATGCAAGGGCTGCTGGTGGCGCTGAGAGCCAGGAGAACGTGCTGGGTTGTCGTGATACATTTCTTGCGCTTGCTGATAACTCATGGCGGCTAAGACAAACGAATTCCCGACGGGCAACCAAACTCTAGAATGTGGGCACAAAAATCCACCACACAACAATCCCGTTTCAATATCCCAATAGCGTGAACGGACTACTCAAACATAGGAGCGACCGAACAAAAGAAAGCCACTTATCGAAGACAACCGGCAGAATGCGAACGGCGCTGTCGAAGGTGGACCAAATTCTCGACTTAAAAGCGGGTGGGAAAAAAAAATGGTTCTAGACACCAACGTCACGGCGGGTTGGGATCTGTGGTTGGCGTGGGAAACAAGTCCAGCCAAAATAGCAGTCAAAAATCAGACGAAAAACACAAAACCGCTCACAACTGCTTGTCTCGTGGTGCTTTGGTCATCAATGCCAGGCGTTCCTCAGGCGTCAAATTTTCGGGAACTTTTTCTTTCCCTTCTCCCCAAGGAGAACTCAAAATCGAGGGAAATAAAAAGTGAGATAATGCGAGGAGAAAAGAAAAGAGAATAAAAGAAACACGGCCACGGAAAAGAAAATACAAAAAGAAAAGCAGCAAAATAACAAAAAGGTTAAAGGGGGGGAAGGAAAGAAATAAAAATTGCCACTACCCGGGATTAAGAGTAAGTTGCCCAAGAGGGTTGGAGTATGGGCGAGGTTGACGGACCGGTGGTGGTGAGGGGAGAGAAAAAGGGAAATCAACGAAAAGATGGAAACAGTAATTTGATCTCAGAGTCGAGATTGGAGGTTCAGGCAGGGAGGTCGTGACCCGGGAGATTATTGGGGGTGTGGAAAGCACGCACGCCAAACGGCACGCAGAAAAGCCGGAACACGGCGACCGCTTTAGTTAGGTCTGGTCGGCCCTTCCGCGGATCCGCCAAGTCGACGAATTGGATAGATCGGTCTGCGTTGATGGTAATGGCGGGCTTGACGGTGTAAGATCTGTTGAGAATGCTGGTCGATCTGTTAGAATGAAATTCTTCTCCCAATCCAGTCTGTGTCCAGTATGGCTTGAGATCGTTGCAATCACAGTCAACTCACACACCCCTGTTTTGTCCAGTTCACCAAGGACAGAAGCAAAGCAAACAAAATAATGATAATTGGAAATCAAACCCAAAAAAAAAAAAAAAAAATAGTGTGGGAAAAAAGGGAGAAACAGACAGACACACTAAAAAGGATAGTGGATGGGATGAAGGGATTCCCGTAATTGATCCAAAATGGGGAACGGGACGACGGGGAAAAGAAAGACAGACGAGAGAGAGGGAGAAACTGTTCTCACTAGTCTCAGTTTATGTGGTGTGTTCTCTATGTTTTATTATTTTTTTTCCCTCTCTCTCTTTTTTCTTTTTCTTTTTTCCCTTTTGGTTGGTGGTTGTTTGAATGTTTTGATTTCCAAAAGAAAATTGATAGAGCAGAAGGTCAAGTTACTCACAAGCAATCCCTCTTCAAAGCTTCCGTGCTTTTTCTTTTATAATCAATCTCCTCTTGTTCTTTCTTTTTATATCTTTTCTCGGTCTTCTTTGGTGTGCTCCTTTCTGTCGACTGTAATTTTAATCCTTTTCTCAAACCCTTCCTCCTTCAGCTGTGGCGGAGGCAAAAAAAAAAATACTCAGGAAAAAGGTGGGAAGTGGAAACAAATTATAATACAATGGGGAATCTGAGGCTTTGCCCAAAAGGGGAGTTGGGTTCCTATTGGTAGAGAGGACTTGCACCAGCAAGTGTATGTGGGCAAGAGGGAGACAATTATAAACTCATGTAAAGGGTGAGTTGAAATAGGCAGAAGAGGAAGTAATAATATGTTTCACAACAATAATTGAAACACAGGAAGAAGCAAGAAGAAATGCAATCTGTCGTTGGACTGTTCGGGCTTCTGATGTCCATCATTTATGTATGCGGCAGTTGACTGTTCCATCCTCAGTTAGGTACTAGTTTACCTACACCTTAGTCAAGTTGTTCTTTTAGTCCCATAAGAGCCAGGTACTAAGGTATTGAATTGAGATTACTGTACCTGAATTGCAGTACTACACTAAACTGCGTCAGGTATCATCATGTCCATGCGCTCCTTTTCCCCCTCCTTCAACTTCCCCTTCGAGTACTCTTACCCCCCTAAATGAAGAGGGATACTTACTGCCTGGGGAATGAGGAATCCAGAAGGCCACTTGCTTCAATTTCTCTTTCTAGAACACGTCTACTCCGTTCTTCGTATTCCTTCCCGTTATTAATAGGCCTTCTAGCTTCATTATTTCTGGCTCGGCATATATGAGTTAATATCCCCTAGATTATTCGGATTCTGTGTTTTCATTGTCCTTACACCAATCACAGTGTCGTCCACTGCACCAAGTTCCTTGGATTATTGATTTCTATCCGGCAACTTTACCAAACCCACGCCAGTGGTGACCTTATTTGCATGTTTCAAACCTTCAATAGACTGATGAATTGTCTCGCAGCTTTTCTTTTGCCGGTTCCTGACAAAGAAAACGAAAAATAAAACATGCACTTCCCCCTCCCCCTCCTTTTTCTGTGGTATTTTTGTTTTCTTTTTCCACGGTTTCCCACTTTCTCCTTCGGGCGGCACGGGGAACTAACCTTGGGAAACTTACTTTAACTCCTTAAACGGGTCTCCAGTATGGAGTTACTCACACGAACCACCTTGAAGATCCAGTCCTTTTTCTGTCTTCTTTGTCGGGACGTTTCCGTGCCACCAAATGCCATCGTGTTCAGTTAGCTTGTCCCTAACGACTAACTAGTCCCTGTCTTCCATGTCCACCCGTCCGAAAGGTTCCTGTTTGACGGTTCTGGCGTGGGAGCTCCAATGCATCCTTCGAGTCTTAGTTAGAAGGTGGATTGGGATCCGCTCGAGGTGGGTAATGATTCCATTACGGAGTACACCAATTCACCACCTCCGAACAGGGGAGCTTCGGTACAGTCGTCCACCGCCCACACGAGCTGTCGCGCCGGCTCTTGGCCGTCTTGATGTCAACTTGTCAAGATTGTTATTCTTGCTATTGGCAACGTGCTTGGGCTCAGGTCATCCATCTTCACGATGGCGGGCGGTGAGGCCGGCAACGTCGCCGAAATCGATCCTGCTATACCTGATGATTCATGACCGTAAAATATTTCAGGAGTCGGTGAGTCGTCTGTCGGGGATGGAGATAACCCCTGATGAACACCCAACTCCCCCATCTGTCCGTGACTTTTTCCCTCACCCTGGGAGACTGGACTGTACGTCAAGACAACATATTTGCCATCTCTTTATTATTAGTAGCGGATGTGCTCGATACCGTTCCCCGTGGCTATTATTATCACATGCGATTATTATGATGCTATCTACCTGACACGCAAGTTTCTGGCTTCCGCTCCCTAACCATTTAGCTCATGTGAGGTTCGATGGCAGGATAAGTCGCCCCTTTTCCAGCGAGAAATTGCGAGGCATGATCCATCATTTCCGACGAATAATGAAAGAACTATCACTACCCGATAGGACGAAAACGGTGTAGTTAGTTGGGATCCGCTGCAAATCCGCACTTGCTAGCTGACTATGGGGAAAGGTTTAGTCTAATATTCGGCGGTTTGGGATTAACACCCAAGCTAGAACCCACTAGAGTGTCACCAGAACCAGTCGGATGGAGACCTCAGATTTCGCGCCTTTCTCCTGAGAGTCCCGGTCCGATATCGTATTCCTTGTTCTCGTGGTCTTTTCCTTTTCTTTTCTCTTCATTTTGGTGGGTGGGTGTGTTCCTTGTCCACCATCCTGCTTTGGTGTCCCTGATTTCGCGCAAGACTCAAAGTAGCGTCGTCCATCACCTGTCAAAACGTGCGGGTGTATCCGGTACTATGAGCCTTGCTTAGTCCCGGGATATACTGGCTTAAGGTATGGTAGGTACGTAGTAGCTGACCGATTCCTGCACCTTAAGCTTGGGCACCCGCGGTGCAGCTCCCAGCTGGTCCCATGGTGTGGCCCGGGGAGGTCTTTGGGTGATCCCGTACTGAACTAAGAGCGAAGCGACGTCTATCGAATATTCTTAGTCTGTTCCCACAGCGAATAATAGCAGGCATCTACCATTATGGGGCCTCAGAAAGTACTAGGAGGCTGCTAAGGCGCACCTCCGGGTGCTGATTGGAAGCCTTCCCTATAGGCGGCTGATGTATCGGTCACATTTACGTGATCATATGGATTTGAGGAGCGAATTTATTTTATGATTGTCCGAGTTGGGACCTACCGACGGAGATGAGTGGTAATCCGTCGGATGGGCCAGCACGTATCTCATGCACCCACTTTGGTGTGGTCTATATGACAAATCTGAAGCACTACTGTATTGGAAACTCAACTCTTCTGTCTGCTGTCCGCGATAAGTGGCTGAATTGTCCTATTTCAGTGTGTGCATTTTATACTATTAGGGCCTAGCATATCGTGTATTATTCTGGCCTCTTTGATTCGTTTTCGTTTCTGCATTTCTGCATTTCTGCATTTCTGTCTCTCTTTCTCTTATTTTTCTTATTTTCTTGGCTTTTTTTTTTTTTTTTTTTTTTTTTTTTTTTTTTTTTTTTTTTTTTTTTTTTTTTTTTTTTTTTTTTTTTTTTTTTTTTTTTTTTTTTATTTGCACCCCCTTAGTCTCACCCACGAAGCAGCCACCGGTAGCCGAGCACTGACAGGATTATTTTACCTGTGGCAAAAGATGCTAGAAAAAGAAACGGATTTATCATTTAATTCCCTCAGACATGGACATCTGTGCACATACGCCCAATGCGATTCAGGCAATGATTAACCTGTAAGTCATACATTCCAAGATATCTGCCCTTTGTCGAAACAACTATCAGTTTTTGAGCCGATATCATCGCAGAGCTGTCTGTGTAGCTTTGTCTACTATCTCTCCGCGGAAAAAGCAAGATTATTGTCCGAGATATGAAATGCTCGACTGACTTGACAAAGCAGTTCATAATTTTTCAACTCTGGCTCTTTCCTTATGTCTTTTTCCTTGGTTTATTTTCTATATTTCCTCTTCTTCTGTTTTGCTTGGATTCCAATATGTAGTCCGTGCTTGTGCATACTAAGGTACATATGTATGCAATCAGCAAGCCACATAGTCCGCCAATCAACACACTGCCTTATGTATCACTTTTCTGTCTTTTCGGGAACCTGGCCCAAAACATAAAAAAATAAAAATAAAAATAAAAGAAAACGTAAAAAGGATTACACCCGACTCGGAGAAAGGTAGCCTTATCCGAATCGTAGCCATTACAATTACATATAGTACTCGATCCGTACTTCTGTCCGGTCAGCAACCAGTGGGGCCTAAATTCGCCGCGACTCCCAAACCCTGCTCACGGATGCAAGGGTCTACGCGGATACATGGATATCAGATTCCTTCGCCCGTTGAGGAGGACTTGGGGGAGATTTGCAATGCACAGTGGTCAGCCTTTGGTTGGAGTACCTGGGATTATGTAGGACGTAAGGGTGATTCTGGCCCTTGGCTTTTGCAGGGTTTCTGAATGCTCTTGTTGGTTGGCTTTTACAGGCTTTTGTTTTGATCACGGAGGAGTATGTCATCCAGCATTTCTTTTTCTCCCTCGAATTTTATTTCGTTTAATATGGAAGAGCATCCGGAATGGACGTCGTACCACACGGCTGTTTCACCATTTATTGGAACTACTGATTGAGACCGGAGTAGAGTTGTCAGCTGCACTATGATGATGATCCTAGATTAGATAAATGATATATGGATGCAGTATTGGATTTATTATGTCTCAATCGATGAAGCAACCGGCTGATACGTACTCCGTACTTACTCTGTTGTCGTCTTATCTGTTTTGTTGGCATGCATTTATCCCCTACATTCCATTCCTCTGTGTCTCCTTCCCTGCCCTCTGAGAGAATTCTATTCTGCTTGACCTATCACTCACACACTCAGTCCTCATGGAGCTTAACATCAGCTTCTCCATCCAACTTATCCACTTTCCAATCTGACCAAAGATCGCCCAGGGGGGATCAAATAGAGCAAAGTAAAGCAAAGTAAGCAAAGTACGGAGTACATCAGAAACACCCAGAATACCTCCAATCCAAGTCTCCATCTCGCAGCAAGGCACATTGAATAAGTCTCCTATCTCTGCTTTTGCCTGAAGGTAGCCAGTAGCTAGTAGCTACCAAGTCACCACGTAAGTCAAGAACAGGGTTTAGCCGTGAACCTTGAACTCCGAAGATCCCTCCATCCATCCATCCCTCTGGGACGGAAGGCAAGGTAAGGTTAGGTTCACCTAGGTTAGGTTCACAACCTTAGTTTTAGTAGTACGTAGTCGTTGCTTCCCTCGTCTCTATGGAGATTTGGAAATTTCATTCCCACTCTCAGGCATCGCTTGCCACGTACTCGCATGCAATGATTCCCGGGGGGGTGCGTCGCTTTTGCTTTTTTTTTTCCCTTCCCCCTCCTGTTTGCTGGCGGGAAGTAAGGGGAGGGTTAACACGTCGTGCGACTCGTGCGTGCTCTTGGGCATGGGTGGTTTTGGGGGTCTAGGTTGGCTTTGTTGCTTTTTTCTGCTTTTGTTTTTGCTTTTTGTTCTTGTCTCTTGGGACTTTTGAGTTTGGGGTTGGGTTTCGATGGTATGATATATAATTTCTGGGTTTTGGTGCGTGAGTTGGACTTTGGACGGGTCTGGTTCGTAAGGAGAACAAACTACTTTTCGGTCTTTCTGTTTAGATATATGTTGGATGTCTGCAGTTGAATTCGACTACTCATAGAAGTTATTATCGGAGAAGTACTCCGGGGAGTAACATGGGAATATCAGCCCAAACATAAACAGTCCATGCATATCAAAGGAGTGATTCAGAATATCGCACACGATAAGTCATAAAATGTAGGACATAACAGAGTAAACATACTTCAAATCCAGCCGGGTATATAAAGGAGAGGCATGAAACGTAAATATAGATCTCAATCTCCCATATCCATATATCCACTCGACGCAGTGAATCCATATCCCATATTATTCCTCCACTCTCTCCCGTCCGACCGTATTCAACCTCGTAATGTCATCATGTGATGAGATGCTCACAGCCAAGCAAGAAAGCCTAGTCCGACAACAGCAGCCAAGGAAGCAGCCTTGGGGGTTGAATATGCAGACGCCGCATTGTCGGTGTTCTGGGCGCTAGTCGCAGTGTTGGTGTTACTCGCCAAATTGCTGTTGGAAATACCCGAGGAACCACCCGAGGAACCACCATTCGTGGAGTCGGCGATGCCGGTTGGGGTTGCAGTTGGGGTTGTATCGGTGGCATCGGTGCTTGCGGAGCTAACGGCGGACGCTGCGGCAGTTGGGTTGTAGCTGGTTGTTGACAGGGAGCAAGACCTGAGGATATCGTAGGCATCTGGACAGCGTCGGATGTTAGCTATTTGGACCTTGGGAGAGCAGGAAGGATTGTATACCGTTGTGGTGGGGGTCGCGATCATCATCGTCATCGTCATCATCATGGTCCCTGTTGTTGCGCTCGCTGCGATACTCCGCGATACAGGCCTCGCAGAGAGGGATCAAGGTTGGTGCGTGATGCCAGTCGCAGATACACTTCATCTCGGCGCGGTCACTCTCGTGTATATTGTCGCATTTGTGAGCGATCCCTACCACCGGGCCGCAGACTCTCCAGCAGCGATTGGGCACGTCGTCGTGGTCCAGCTCGGCGCCCATGGCGACGTTGCTCATGAGCATGAGGCCGGAGAGAGCGAGCAATTGGGCGGTACGCATTGTGGACTCGTTCAACGATGACACGAAGTAGATGTTTAGGGGTATAAAGAGTTCCGAATGTAGTTGGATTCCGTCGTCGCGATGCAATTGAAATCGAAGCTGATGATGCTATGAGCAATTGGAGGCGGGCGAGGACGCATATTTATGGCCATTTCGATCGTGTCGCAAAATTTCTATATATAAGGATCTCGTTGCCCGAAACTAGAGCTTGCCCAGACGGGAAGTTCTCCGCATGCACCATACATCGCAGTTCCATCACTCGGGATGCTAGCGATCTGCCTTCAATGAGAGCTGTTGAAACTCTAAGCCTCCTTCGGGCGACATATGCCAAGCACGGCTGGCGTGGAAATCGGGTGCAACCCGCTGATCAACGTATGAATGACACCAATATATTGACAGGGAACGAAGCTGCCTGGAACAAAGAGGAAAGAAGATTATGGGTTCGGAGAGCTGCCAAGAAGCGGTTTGTTCATCGCTACCAGACTTGTCTGCGGGGACTGTCATTCTATTCTTCTGCACTTTCACCGCCACACTGGACCCTGGTTTTAGGTTGGGCTTTGTATATGTGGATCCTCCGTATGCTAGGGAGGAGCAATATTTGTTGACTCGGCGATTATTGTTGACGCACTTCTCCAAGAAGCTGTTGCGGAATGCTTTACGGAGTACTCCGTAGTTCGATGTTTCCAGAGGATGTTCGGTCGATGATGTCACTCGCTGTTTGCCTCGTCATCCGTACTGGGATCTAGGAACATTGACAACTCGGAAAACGAGGAAAGTCAGACTGACAAAGAATACAAGATGGATGATCCTCGCTTGGCACTCAATTGATCCTGTCCAGAGAAGATCAGGCAATAGCATTACCGAACATGCTCTTCAACGGATGGAATTGCCGAGCTCCTGCACAGCCTCCCCGCTATATATAGTTGATCGGAGGGTACCGATGACTTTGACAACACAGTATCACGGCCAGTGAACGACAAGATAAATGTGCTGCCTGTACCTATCCTGCACACTGCAACTTGAAGTACACAGATATATACCATACCCACAAGTCGTATGCTATTCATAGCTCAAATAGCCGAAAGTGCTGTACTTGGTGGATGTTGTCTGGAAGTAGGGTTACACTGGAGCACTGGACAACGACCTTGATGCGTGTCCGGATGGTTATCTATTTGGGGAAACATGTACACTGTGCAGGGAAGATCCTTATTTCTATCAGTTAAACGCATGATTTGAGTCATCTGATATTTATTTAGCGACTCGAGATAAGAAGATCTATGACACACCACAGGTCATTACCATGTTTTGCAATAGAAGCGCCCTCCATGCGCCATTATTGTGTTCTAGGAATCGCTGGTCACAAGTAGTTGAACGGGCCTTTCATATGCCTTAACTGTTATATGGGGATAGATCCAGAACAAAAGCTTGATGTCTTGCATTAGCAATGCGATATCCTTACGTGAAAGTTGTGGTTGTAGGAGGGGTTGACCTGTGACGTCTTCCCTCCCCCTCTTATGAAATGTCAGAACACCGGCTTCTTGCAAACATATCATTGGCCAATGTACTCCGAGTGGGCTAGTAGTCACCCATGTTCTCCACCTTGACATACATCACTACGTTCATGCTGATTGATCTAATAATCCTCCAAGGTATAACTCTTCTGCGCTCTGGTGAGATTCATTGTCAGAATGGCTCGCTCCGCCATGCCCAAGGTATCTTGGGATAGACATCTCCTACGTTCGGTGCAGAGCGCGCCTCCTGCGACTCTACCAGTCTTCATCTACGGCACTGCATGGAAGAAAGATCGAACAACAGATCTAGTGTATCAGGCTCTCAACGCTGGCTTCCGGGCCGTAGACACTGCGGCCCAGCCGAAGCATTACCGGGAAGATTTGGTAGGCGAGGGCATACGCAGGGCTATCCGGGACGGAGCGATCCGACGAGAGGATCTCCATGTAAGTCTCACGTAATGTCGATAGTAAACCAAGATGTTCACCCGGCTGACCATGGTTAGATCCAAACCAAATTCACATCCATCCATGGGCAAAACCCCGATGAGATGCCCTATGATCCCAATTCCTCGGTGACGGAACAAGTCCACGCTTCTATCAAATCATCCCTAGAGCATCTTCGTGCATCTGACGCCCCGGAAAGCGTCAACGAAGCGTATATCGATATGCTGGTCCTTCACTCCCCACTTCCGACAATGTCTCAGACATTGGAGGCCTGGTCCACGTTTGAGACTTACGTCCCTCATCGAATCCGAAACTTAGGCATATCCAATTGCACCTTGCCTCAGCTTAGGGAACTATCCGCACTGGTCAAAGTGAAACCAGCGGTTGTCCAGAATCGCTTTTATGGGGGCACGCAATTCGATGTTCCGTTGCGCTCATATTGCCGGGATAACGACATTATTTACCAGAGTTTCTGGACACTGACAGCGAATCCAGAGTTAGTTCAATCGGATGCAATCCAATTGTTAGCAAGTCGCACAGAAATCAGCCCCGCCGCCGCTCTATATTGCCTCGTTTTAGCCCTGGGGAACACCACTTTATTGAACGGGACGAGTAATCGGGGCCGCATGGAAGCGGATTTAGCTGCTCCCGCAAGGGTAGAGAGGTTCTCCCAAGAACACCCGGAAGTATGGCAGAGGGTGCTTGAGAACTTCCAGCAACTGACTGGGGATCGGGTCGCACTCTAATGAAGCAGTGTTCCCTTCGCGTGCCTTGCCTTAGGGTTGATCCCGTTATCAGTGGTCAAAGCGTATCCAGGCTCCGACGACAATCCATGGAATCTAGTGGAAGGTCAATGAAGCATCTAGAGCGGACAAAAATGGTAGCACATGAAGTTTTTGCAAAAAAAATAAGGACGATACCACGGTATGGCCGTGCAATATGATTGGCCATTTTCATATGAGTGGATCGGTGGGCATGCCGCGTTTAACTAAAGTAGTAGGCGTTAAGGGAAACAAGGCAATCCGAAACGATCAGCATCAGAACAGGTGAATTTGTCCACATCCCATAGCTCAGGTAGAAAGGTAGCGATATACCTGGAGTAGACACACCGAATCACAATCGTTTTCGCCCGTCAGCCCTAGTCAGAACACGTTTGGTCAGCACTTCTGGCTGACTCAGCCTCTCTAACCAATCAGGGTCCGCCGTGGGACCATTGACCTCATCGTCACCGCCAAGCATCTCGACGGTAGCGGAGAGAAGATTTACCAGACGCAGGCCATCTTCAGCCATCGCCATTCATCAAACGCGAGTTGTTCTGAATCACTTGGATTCGGTAACTCTTGCTTGTGTCACTGCTGCACCTCACTATATTGTTTGTCTTCTCGACTTTGCGGGACGGGCGGATTTGTGCTTTTTTTTTTTTTTTTCTTTTTCCCTTACCTTGCGCCGGTGCGAGCCCTCCACCCATCCGCCGCAGCACCCGTTCCTGAGAAGACGCCGCTTATAAGTCCTCGTCTCACATATACATCGCAACAGTGTTAAGCAATTGCCTTGCTCCTTCCTCATCGCTCATCTTAGCTGGGTCTGTCGCGAGCTTGCTATCCGATTGACTTCGACCTTCTTGATAGTGAGATTTTATCGCCCCGCGTGTCGCGTCCCAATATCGATATATCGGCCCGTTGCCGTAGACCTTCTTTCCAAGCGTTTGTCGGTTCAGCCTGAATGACACTGATTCAAACGGAAGCTCTATAAACGATTCTCTACGCTGTTATTATTACATTCGGTCTCGAGCCGCGTCGCGCCATACAAGTTCCCCGCCATAGCCTAGCCTTGGCTGGCAAGCCCATTGAAGAACACCCTCTTGACTAGATATCGGATTTTGCCGCATTTCTACGCAATCTCAATACACGAATCCTATATTGAAGAAAAGACCTACCCTTGACTGGCCAGATATCGCTATACCGTCTGCGATGAGTCCTCAAGGCATGACTCGCAAAAGGCCTGCTCCCGGCACATCTCCAATCGCTCATCCACAATTAGGCCCGATCTCCAACTATCCGCAACCCTCTAACACCCAGCTCTCAAACGACCAGTTCTTGCAATGGGGCCAGAACACTTCCTCGAATGTTGTCAGCCCATCTTCCTTTTCTGATGCGAATCCTTATGGCGCTACAGCATATTCGGCAGGTCAAGACGTGCCGGCACCTACAGCTACTGCATCTACACAACTCGCACGTAGACAGACACCAAATCAACTGGTCAGCCGGAATCGCGGATATGAACAGACACCGACCCCCTTGTCTGACCATGGGAGTAATACTGGAGAGCCTGGGGGGTGGGGGGAAAGCTTAGATGAGCTCTACCAGCGGGCGTTGGTTGCGAAAAGGGAGGTGCAGGCCAAGAGGAAGCAGATCCCCCCATTCGTTCAGAAGCTAAGCAGGTATGGTCTAAGCGACGTAGAAATTGAATTGATGATCGATGGCTAACGAATCTCCAGTTTCCTGGACGAGTCTAAGAACACAGACCTCATTCGGTGGTCCGATGACGGAAACTCCTTTATCGTGTTAGACGAGGACGAGTTCGCAAAGACCCTGATCCCTGAACTTTTCAAGCATAACAACTACGCTTCCTTTGTCCGCCAGTTGAACATGTACGGGTTTCATAAGAAGGTGGGGCTCTCGGATAATTCGATGCGCGCCAGTGAACGAAAGAATAAGAGCCCTAGCGAGTATGCCAACCCATACTTCAAGCGGGGCCACCCCGATTTGCTGTGGTTGATACAGAAACCTAAGAACACGGGAGGGCAAGGGAATAAGTCAGGAAAGTCCAATATACGCGTGAAAACTGAAGAGGTGGATGAACATGAGAATGATGATTACGATGATGTCCCTGGTGCACGAGACGACCGATCCCGGAACCGACAATTATCTCTAGTCCAAGGAGGGAACATTATGCCGAAAGATCAACTCGCGGGGGTTTACCGGGAGTTGCAGGCTATTCGGCAGCAACAGCAGGTCATCTCCAACACAATTACCAAGCTACGGAGGGAACACGAGCAACTCTACGCGCAGGCCGCCAATTTCCAGGAGCAGCACACTCGGCACGAGAATTCGATCAATGCGATTCTCACTTTCCTGGCGACTGTCTATAATCGCAGCCTTCAGGGACAGGAAGGGCCTCAAAACCTCGCCAACTCTTTTGCTGGAGCGATCTCTCAGGATCAAGGCAATGTAGTCGACATGGGAGATGACTATTCGCTGAGCACCTTAGGTGCTCAGCATATGAACAGCCCTGGAGGACCGCGAACAATGAAGAAACAACCCCTGCTTCTCAAAGCTGCGCCATCAGAACGACAGAGCCGCGCAACAACCCTCTCACCAGCCGCCAGTGCGTATGAGGGTCCACAACCGCGGGGTCATACTCGCCAGCCGAGTGCCCCCCAACACGGTCATATTGAAGAGGTCTTTGATAGCAGCCCCCGGCCGAAAGAGACACAACCGCCCCAAACCGAACAGTTTCCTCAGCGGGATATCATGTCCGTAATTCAGAATAGCAATGCACGAAATGGAGGCCCACCCACAAGCTTTGCGGACTTTCCCAATGTATTGTCGTCGCTGGAAACGTCAAATGGCAACGTTCCTCTTACTCCCAACCAGCGCGCGGATATGCTCCGTCTCATGGCCAACGAGACTAGCACGGGTGACTCCAATGTACCTGTGTCACAGAACAATGCCCTAATAACCCCCACACCACCGCCAATGCCTCTCGGTTATTCGAATCGTCTTGCGAGCACCCGCGCGGAGATTGACAACCTCGTGAAAATGCAAGCTGAACAAGATCGTTCAGTTCAGAATTTAACAAACCTTCTACAGCCGCTCAGCCCAACAGGGACAATCCCGGGCATGGTAACAGGCGATGGAAGTGTTCCTCCTCCCCCGCTAGACCTCGATCAGATTTTCAATAATGACTACTTCACGGACATCGCGGATCTTGAGCATAATAAAAACAACTTGGACTTTGGAAACACCACGACTGCGGTACCCGCTACGGCACCAAGCGAACCTGTCACGACAGGTGCAGATGATAGCGTAATCAAAGATGGAAACGACTTGTTTGATTTTGACCATATCCCTGATAACGGCGATCTATTCGAGGGACCGGACCAACAGCAACAGAACCCCGGTTTCTATAACGGCTACGATGGCAGTGGCTTTAATAATACGATAAATCCGGGTGCTGGCAGAATCATCGAAACTCTTACCGATAGCGAAGCGACCAGCCCAAGTAACACCGTGGACGAGCCTGCACAATATGGCGTCCCTAACGGGGGCAAAGATCTCCAGGGAGGTAAGGGAAACGGCGGTAGCGCGAAGCGGCGCAAGAAGGCTTAATATTGTTAATATACCATACTAACGGGGTTGTGCGTCTGCAACAAAGAAAGGGAAACCACTCTGAAGAAGCGAAAGACGTGAATATGCGACCATCCATTGGGAGTTTCGACCTCAAACCACTATCAATTTCCTTTGTTCTATTCTCGTTCCCTACCCACTCGAAGCGAATAAACGAGGCATCTTTGGGTCAAAAAGGTACAAATCGAGTCCCATATATTCATCTTTACCTCTCGTCAAAGCGATTCGGTCCTAATACGAGACAGACCGGTTTTCAGTCTCTTGGTCTGAATTCCGATGACGCGTGCGACTAGTCAATATTCTCTTACATATACAAGCAGCCTACAACTGGACTTTCACTAAGGACGGTGATTCTTGCAGATCCGTCTTGGGATGTGAGTCGACCGGTGTCTGAAATGAGTCCGGTCTTCTCTTTCGACAACACTACGAATAAGGGCGTTAGGATTCGGCGGGACAACCAAAAAAAAGTAAAGGGAGATATGAGCATGGGAAGGAGTCCCACGTGGAGTGTCGTTAGTTCTTACACCGCTGTTGAGATACTTATCTTCTGGCCGTGGTGCGCCACAAGGACCTCTCCCATGATCTCGTTCTAATCATCCTTATCACCTGTTTTAATGACTTGAGTACATAGTTATGACTGAGCTTCCAGCTATGACCTGTTTGTCGATGCTTATTGATGTACATGCATTGTTTTTCCACGAGGTATTAAAATGCCTTCACTGTTGTTAACTTTGTACGTACTCCTGCAAAGCTCAACAATGTCTCGAGATATATAGATCTACACCATGGCATGAAGACTATTCTATGGTTCCAAAGTACATACGTAGTCATTCATATACAGTAAACTATTTCCCTCTCCGTGCCTTGTCCCATTCTAGGTTGCCTGCACGCTCACGCTTCCTATCTCGCTCCCGATCTCTCTCAAGCCCTCTCCGTTTCCCGCCAACGTATTCCTTCTCCTTCTCCCGCGGATCAATCACCATAAGCGAGTCCGCATCTTCCGGATGCTCCCGTTTCCAGTTCAAATCCTTCCCAAGCGTATCCTTGCCAAAGCGCAACTCATGCGTCAACCAGCCCTCCTCATCCTCCGCCGCACCTGCCTTTCCGCCCTCCGCGGTTTGATCATCATCCCATGATTGACACGATTGGCAATTCGCGATAAAATGAAGATCACAGAGCTGGGCCTCCTCGTCATCCGCTTCCTGCGTCTCAGTCGAAGGTTTGGCATCCTGGGCGGTGGTTTTGTGGGTGGGTGCGGACGTCGAATCGGCATTTTCAAGCTTAGCCTTGAACGCATTGAAGAGTTTAAGTGTTTCATTGTCCGCTGAGCTGAACCCTGTTATCCCGTTTGAACCGTTGGTTGAGACCGATGTGCCCGGCGGAGGGCGTCTGCGGCCCCGGATCGCCGTCTCCGGGATCATGGCCTCCAAGGCGGACTTCTTGGGCCCTGTATCCGCAGGGCCAGTGTGGGCAGTCCTGCGCATGGAGGCTTTGAGATTCTCGATTTCGGCATTGGTGCGCGAGAGGAAGGATTGCTTCGGTGCTGCTGGTTCGGGGGAGCGGTCTGGCGATTCGGGTTTGGGGAGGGGGAGCTGGGTCTCTGGTTCGGGGGTTTTGGGGCGATGCTTGGGCTCTGGGGAGGGGGAACGCGGGCGTTTCTTCGTTGATTTCGGTTCTTGGGCCGGTTTGTGGGACTCGGGGATGTTTGTATCCGTCACCAGGCTGGAGTTGAACTTCGGTTTCGCAGGTCGAATGGGCATATCTTCATCGCCCTCGCCGTCATCGCCGAAGCTCAGGAGTGTCTTGCCACCCTTATTCTTCTTCTTCTTTTTCGGCGCGGGCTTATCCTCCGTCCTTGCGGTCCGCGTCGCCGTGATCTGGCGCTTCTTGATCTTTCCAGCCAGCGGGCCCAACTCCCCGATCTCGCAGGAGGTGATCTTCACCGGGTACACAGGCCGCTCCGTCCCCTCGACCCGCTCGGCCTCTGCAATCTTCACCATATTGTAGATACTGTCGCCCTCGATGCGCCCGAAAAGCGTACACTGCCCGTTCAGCTCGCGCTCCGTATTCCCCAGCGTAATGAAGAACTGGCTCCCGTAGCTCCCATCCTCGCTCTTCGCCATCCCCACCAGCCCGCGCCGGTTATACCGCAGCCGACTGTGCAGCTCATCGCGGAGCACGACCTTCTCGTTCGGGTCCCGCGCCTCCGGGTCGTACTCGAACTCCGGGTCCTCGTAGATCGATGTGCCCCCCGAGCCTGTGCCCGTCGGGTCGCCGCCCTGGATGATGAAGCCGGGCACCACGCGGTGGAAGATCGTGTCGGCGTAGTAGCCGTCCTGGCAGTGTTGGAGGAAGTTCCGGCATGTGAGGGGGGTTTGCGTGGCGAAGAGGGAGATGTGGAGGGGCCCGAAGGTTGTGTTTAGGGTTGCTGAGGCGGTCGGGTTTGGTTCTGTGGTGTAATGGGCGGACATTTTGAGGGTTTGGGAGCGTTGTGGTTGGGTTGGGTGTTTGCGCGTTTGGTTGGAGCTGGAGCTCCGTGACGGATGGGTTCAGTTGGGGGGTGCGAGGATCGTGTGTTAGATGGTGAGGCTATTATGTGCGATTCACATTATCGGGAGACCTCCACGGAGTAAGCGCTGCGTGGGGTTTTGGGGTGAGGGCGATTGCGGTCGAGGGAGAGAGGATGTGTCTCGGCGGATGTCGAAGCTTTTCGGGGAAAATTCATTTGATAAATTGATGTGGTCACGTCATGTCACGGCCGCTTTGTTTTTCTGGATATTTACAACTTTGGTTTCTACATACTTGCCATACACAGTTGAGATCCGCTGTATGTGTTTGAACTGAGTACTTGGATTTCTTTTAGTGGTTCTTATGGTGGAAGATATTAAGCTAATTTTGGTAATGTACTTAACGGCGTGTTTAATGGGTTGAGAATAGTAGTTCACATTGTTAAGCGCAACTTTTACTATCTAGTCACTGCTAGTGAATGATACTGTGTTTATGTCCAGCTTATTCCATTGTTCTAGAAAGAGTATATTATAAAATGACAGTCGTTAATCAAAAGTGCCGTAAACATCTTCGTAACATTGGTACATATCTGGGCAACTGGGCAGGTCAGTCAAGAGGAACTGATACAAAGGACAAGAGAGGCCTACTAGACGGGATCCTGCCCGAATATTATATGCCACATATACTCCATGACTCGTCCACTGACGTCGTCTGGTAGTTCGGTCTCCATAAGCCATTGGTGGTATCGCACATAATTGCTCAATGGGCGCTGCAGCACCTGTGTTCTCGATACCGCAAATTGCGCGCAACAGGGGGTTGCGATGACCTCTGGGACATCGGTATTGTTGAAGAACGTCCGCCAAACTTCAGGGAACACCTGCTCCGGCAGGTGCTCTTCGTCGCTTAATCCGCGAAATGGGCGGATCTCGTCAGGACAGCCCGGGTTGGGGTTACAGCGCAGGTTTGCGTAACCGTTGCGCTGGACGAAATCTGTCTGCAACATCTGGGCGGTTCGCACATTGCTGTGGTCGGAAAATTCCGTGTGCCAGGCTCTTGGATAGCCGTCCCGGTGGCTGTGCAGGAAGACGATGGTTGATGGGAGGTCATCGTAATTGTCGATTATATATTGCAGGTACACACTGGCTTCTTTTCCTTTGTTCTTGGCTACATGGAGGGGTGCTTCAGGGTCATCCACTGCATAGATCGCGTGCTGCCAGCTGCGTTGATGCGTTAGCTCCGCCGGCTATACATCCAGAGTGTATGCCTTACCTGGGCAACTCGTTCACTATCCAGTCCGTGTCATCCTCTTTCGTTTTCCCAGCAACAATAACGCGATCGATTGCTGTGATTTTGATCTGGGGGTGTTCCTGATTGTTAGACGGCTCAGCTCCCCTGTGCCGTGAAGGCAACAGATCGGTGATACTTGGTCGCTTTTTCCTAGTGGTTGGGGTATTTCGAGAAGTGGTGGGAGTTGGGGCAGTCGTTGTGTATCCCAATTTGATCCCATTATGCCAACGAGACAACTGGTGAATTTCCAACGACGGGGTACTGAAGCGTCTCGCGAGCCACACAAAGGAGCAGAGCAGCAGAACCGCGATGCTAAGACGCTCGATTTGGCGCATCCTGAGCTCGATTCAGGTCTCGTTCATTGCGCCACGATCTAAGTACGAACAGCTGTTGGGCTATTCAAGTCTCCGTTTTCGGGTGCCATGACAATGATTAGGTGAAAACGCGTCAAGTGAAAGAGGGAGCAGGGGCCTCAGTCCTTTATCCAAGGCCGAGAATCACTGAATCATCCTTTATTCCCAACACCCAATGACGTGCACGGAGTCAAGGCTGGATAGCCCCAGCGTACCATTTGCAGGAACAGCTTGCCGGGCACGAGACTGGTGATGTAACGTTGAGTCGACAAAGGAAGTTAGGTGGTATTACCACTTCAGACTGCTAGACCTTGAAGAATTTGCATTCTGAATATCACAAAACAAAGAGATACCAAACTCATGCAGAACGACTCAATCTCTGCTTAACGATCTTCACGATCTCCCTCCATTCCATCATCCCGCCGGACCCCACATCACCACACGCGAGCGATTTCTCAATGGGCCGGAGGACTTCAAACCAGCCTTGCACATTCCCATTGATTTCTTTAACCCCCCAATCTTCTTCCAGGACGCGCATCTGCTGTGCGGTCACAGGATGCATCCACATTGCTGTGTTCATCGCGGGAGCGACAAGTATCCGTTTCTTTCTCCCGTCGATCAACCCCGTCGTGTCCCATGCGCGTACAACGCTCGTAAGTAGATTGTCGGACATCCCGTGGACCACTTTCGCCAGTGAATTTGCGCTCAGTGGGGCGATAACTAGTAAATGAGCCCATCTACGGAGGGTGATGTGTAGTATGTCTGAGCCTCGTGTCCAAGGCTCGGTCCATTCATCCTCGTCGTGGAGGACCGAGTCGACGTTGGGAAGCGATGAGAGGGACTCTACCGAGGGCTGCTCCTCAGACTGAGCACGAAGGAACTCAGCGGCAGCTTTGGTAAGAATCACCCGGATTGAGATATTCGGATGGTCTGCGAATGCCGCAATGATAAGCGGTAGCTTTATTGTGGCAACGGAACCTGTTGCAGCCAGAAGTAGATGCACCTTGCCATCGTTGAGTGACGCGGCAATCTCTGTTGCTGGTGACTTTTTTGTTGCCATGATGGTGATGGGTGTGTATTGTTTTTAAGTCTAGTTGGGAGAAGGTTGATATGATCGGCAAGTAACGGGCGAGATGGTTATATATTTCTAATCCAATCCGAGAGGCTTGCGCTAGCGGCTATTATATAGAGTTAACCTACTATAGAGAAGCATGCTCGACTTAAGATACGCTCGCACGCAAAGGATAGGACTCTTCTTGCTTTGTTATTTTTATACCAGATATACTGAGAAACCTGTCTTAATAACAAGTTTGCCCTATGGCTTGCGATCGAATATGATCCATGTTCATACAGGGTAGTATCAAGCCTCTTTTTATTGTAGGATTATATAGCCAAAATGGAAATCGGTCTTCAACAAGTAGCCGGGCTAGCTCAATCGGTAGAGCGTGAGACTCTTAGTCGTCACGGTATCTCAAGGTTGCGGGTTCGACCCCCGCGTTCGGCTTCACTTTTTTTGTTTTGGTTTTTTTTTTTTAAACATTTTCTTGGTGGTAAAGAAAGTTAAAAGTACGCATTGGCGATGCACGGTACCACCGGAGCAAACCAATAACCCTGGTTACCCAATTTCCAGCTGGAATTACATACTTGCATTACATTCATTTTATCACCGACTGGCCCAGAAGTGGATCAATACGACCAGTATAAAAAAAGAGTGCGGACCTCCTACCCAAAGCCAATGATATAACAATGTTCTTGTTACTCATCATAGCGTCTGGCTAAGTGCATATATCTCTAGAACAACTGTTTTATGTTGGTGTTATTCATCTCCATCAGCTTCAACGAAATCGGCATCCATATCCCTTGGCTCATCGAAGCCAGAATTGTATATCTCTCTTATCATTTCCAGACCGAGACACCACTCTTTCAATCGGTGTTCATCCCAAAATAAAAATCCCCAATTGCGTAAGGCACTATGACCATATCTCCAAAGATATATGGATGCATCTTCTTGGATCGTACTCAAACACCAAGTCCAAGCCAAGTTGGGACTATTCCAGTCCGTATCTGATAGGAAGACCCTGCCACACGTGCCTTCATCACCGAAGTCTATGTCATACTCCTCTTTACGGGTGGTGCGGTTAGCGTCCAAAGCATTAGCTATGAAGTCTACTGCCCCGTTCAAAGTGCCACGGAGTATGGCCTTCTGCTTGAGCAAACGTTCTTCTCGACAGGCTATGCTGGACACATGCATCCAGTGATAAAGAAACTCCAGCCCCAGAGAAACGTAATGATCTCTGTGGTCGTCATCGATCTCTAGATCAGCCAAGTTAGCAAGGTTACATTACATTCTTTGGTTGTCAAGGGTTATACCGTGATCATAAAGGTGAGATAATGGATCTTCATTCTCATCGGGAAAGAGCTCACACCAATCATCGAAATTAGTTGCTCCAGGCAGTTCTTCATATACGCGAAAGATATACATCAGGACACATCGGATTTCTTCCATTTCCCATGGTGCGAATAAACTGAGGAATAGATCCCACTGGGCATCAGACTCGACATATATATCGTTAAGCCGATCTTGCCCTTCGAACCATAGAAGCCCGTTGCTGCTGAACAAGAGCCGGTGAATTTCTAGCCGGTAGATTGCTCGTTGCATCCGAAATGTTTCTGGTGGTGATAATGCAGTATCCTTCCCCTTTGGCTTTTGGGTATCTGGCCTAAGCCCGAAGAAGGAGTGGACCATATCTTTTAAGATGAACTCCACTATAGTATGAAGTCGAGCCATTTCAAGTAGATCGTATTTCGTCAAAGAGGCAAACACTTGATAAACGTCCAACTTCTGATCTAGGTATTCGTCTGCAGAATAGGAGTATGGGGGGTTCAGTATTGCACGCAGGGGAACGTATTTTCTCAGAAACTCCTCAGCTGCCTCTAGAGCAGGCTTTGGGGCTTTGCATCGGTCCTGCCGCCCGCGTAAGGCGATCAGCGCAGCAACCGCATCGACCATGACAGGCAGCTGGAGGCATCTTGCAAGGGCGGTTGACAGTAGTTGTTTGCGCTGGGAAAGATACAACGCATGGAAGCAGGGAGAGGCATGGACCAATGAATTCAGGGAGGCAAGGTCTGGGATAGCATACAAAATGGCTGTTTTCATTTCGGGAGGCAGGGCCTCTAGTGTGACTGATTCCATTTTCAGAGACATGAATGGGATCAAACTATCTCGAAGACGAGAGGGAAACGTGATTTATGTGACATTTAAGTGTCAAGACCCGCTCTGTGAAACGCCGCTCGAGACCTACTTGACTCTGGAACAATCAGGCCCCTTCGTCATCTAGCTTTTGGAAATGAATATCGCGTTACAGCCAAATTCCCGCTCCGCCACTGCAAGGTCCCGTTGACACAAGCTATGTTTGTCTATCCTAGCCAATTCAATATGTCCACCTGTTCCATAATTTCGAAGTTCATTAGTCATATCGGTGGCACTTTACTTACAAGCACTGTACCATTGGAGAGAGTAACAGGGGCAGGTTCGGTGTTCATGACAAATTAGATGCTCATTTGTGTTGCCTCAACGATTCTAGGTTTCACTTGTGTTGCCTCTACGAGTTCAGATGGCTTTGTTTGCTAATCTATAGACTCTAACGAATACGAGCTTAAGATCAGAGGATAGCAGCTAGTTGGCTAGGAGTGTTTGTGGCCAATAACAAAATGTCTCCCAGCGCTTCGACAAACATCCTCCAAGGCAACGACAATGTCTAAGCTCGCCATGTATTTAATATAGAGCATACTGCACGTTTTCTTTGGCTGCTAGATGTCTATATATATTCTTTCAAATCCCATTATTCTCTCTACCTTTACAAACCCAAACCGATTATACTTCCATTAATATTCTCTTCTTCCACAGAAACAGCAACGCAAACCTCTCCAGCGTATGAACCATGCCACGCTGGACTGAACACCATCAACGTGGCTACGATGCTTACTATGCTCGTAAGACCGAGAATATCGTCTATGCGGCGCTTGTCTAGGACCTTCTCCAAGTTCTGGTAAAATGCAGAAGCGTGTTTCATCTCGTGCGCCTTGGCCTTTTGAGCCTCCAAGACCTTGGCCATCATGAGATGAGCTGAGTGGTCCGCCATGTTGTTGGTTGCCTCGGTTCACTTGTTTGACCTGAGATCGATGATTTTTGAACACTAGAGAACAATTGGATACACACTTTTATATACTTGCACCTTGCACATCGCAAAGCCCAGAGCGGCGACGGCACAGACTCAGAGCTAAGACGGACTGACGGGGAAAGGGAACGCCGTCGACACAGCCCTGAGGAAGACGGGTTCAGCACCGTTAACAGCAGGAAGACCGAGTTCGTCCAGAAATATTGCACGGTGGAGGCTGAAAAGTCATTCTGAATACTTTGCGGCGAATCAGACCCATCCTGCAGATTCTCAGGGGTTTTCTACCGGAAGGTATATAGGTAAAACCGTAGTCTCCAGGGCATGCGTGACGGCGTACATATGAGAGGGATAAGAAGGCGAGGTAGAATCCCACCCTTTTGCCTCGAGTAGGCTGGGATATGGCAAGACCCCGCTGGTTCTAATATGAAGGAGGCTAGGAAATCAGCAACAAAGCAAGGGCGCTGGCTACAAAAGTATTTATGGATCCGATCCGTATCAAACAAAGAGCGGCTTCCGCTCCCGATGGTACTCGGCGAGTCAGGGGCCAAATCAACCGATTCACGAAAGTACGATGTAACCCCTGTGCATAAACGCAAATTTACCCCTCTACCTGACACTAACGTTGACCACGACTCTCCTGCACTTCAGTCGACTCCAGAATGAACGCTATCGACTCGGCAGATTCTTTCTGGGGCTCTTCAACTTCGAGGGCCAAGTCAGTATACCATCTTGCGCGTTCTTTCAGTTGCTGACCTCAACAAAGCTTCTGCGAGATAGACTACGCCGTGAGCCGATACATCGCCGAGTTTGTCAACAGCTTGACAAATGTCGTCTACAGTAAGATCCCGGAAGGTATGTGGAATTATGATCTAATTTCTCTTCATCAGTAATCTACGGCCTGTACGGGTTGCGCCAGCTGCGACGGAAAGCAGACACACATGGTGATTCTTTACGTGCCCTTCCCTACTGGGGCTTAATAGCGGTCGGTCTGTGCTCGTTTGCGTTCCACCTCAGCCTCAAATACCACACCCAGATGAGTATGTGCCACGTCTTTCCCACGTCAGCTACTTCTAGTATCTGGCTCATTATTCCCTCTGCCAGTGGACGACCTCTCGATGCATTTTGCCACAACCCCAGTCCTACATCGCGTCTTGACGGCCAATTCAAATCGCCGAGACTCTATTGTCGTGGCTATCGCACTTGCTTCCATGTTGCTCTTTCTGGTAACATTCCATGTGATAACCGATGAGCTGGTCCTCCACTCCGTGTCCTTTGTCGGCACGGTGACCGTCATTGGAGTTCACACTATACGTCTCGTCAATAGCCGGACGCTGCCCGGATCAGCTGCCCGGCGACAGATCTGGGGAATGGTTCGGTTTGGAGCAAGTCGGTAATCCAATCGTACGACAACATTCCAAGAGACTAACTGGCGTTGACAGCGATTTTCAACCTGGGGTATTGGCTTTGGCTGATTGATCAGTGGGCCTGCGGATTCTTGACAAAAGCGCGAGAAGCAATAGGGCTTCCCTGGGCTTTTGTACTAGAGCTTCACGGGTGGTGCGTTTCAGAAATCTTCCGTGTTCTTCTTCCGTATGACGCTAAACGCATTGGTATAGGTGGCATATCTGTACTGGAATCGGGGCCTATATTTTTATCGCCGTGGTAGATCACCTTGTCGCCAGCGAGGATCTAAGTGATATCCAACAATCATTCACCTGGCCAGCTTCCTGGGCGTCGACATCAGTTTTCGCAGGACGAGGATCGTCCGTAGACAAGGACGTTAGCGAGAAACAAAAGTGAAATCAGAACTAATTTTATAGGAAGCCCCTAACTTTAGGGGCCACTCATAAATATTAAGCCTTTCCGAACCCCTCTCGCAAGATTGTCTGTGTTGATATTTCCAGCCGATGCGTCGAACAAGGCCTGCTGGTCCTCGCCATGGTCTTTTGGCGAGAGATGAAGCAAGGTGGTTACACGCTGAAATTGTGCTCGTATCCACGCCTGCTGCCCAGGCCTGAGAAAGCTTGCTAGTAACTGGCCGTTGTCTTCCGAGAAAAGGGTCAATAAGTGGCTCAGCGGACTCATTATGTGCCAAGGACCTTGGGCGATAATAGGGTACCTGTGGTCGTCTCTGCATCTTCCGGCATCGTGGTCCTTCGTATTCAAGCTCTTTTTACCCTCCGGTGCTGGTAAGGGATGACTTGGGATCAAAATTTCCGAGTCGGTAAAGTCTGTGATGGTTGACTGTCTGGTTCGATTGCCAAGGAAAAAGGGGACGCTGTAGCACACAGAATCCACCAGCCTTTGGAGAGTCTCTTGGCACTCGCATATGTTGTCAACTACAGCTGAGGCTTGATCTTTCGTAAGCTCAACTTGAAACATGTGTATGGTCTTCTGGAGGCAGTCGACAGTAATCTTGAGGAGTAAGAGGCGTTGGAAACGCCATAGATTCCAAATGTTGGCAATCTGGCAAGAAGGGTAGACCTCACAGACAGACCGGTAGGTAGGAATAGATTCATCGATATCTTGACCAGGTGTGAGCTTTCGCGGCTGCCAATGGTCCGGCACGTTTTGTGCCCAATCAAGAAGCTCTTTGTCGATGCGCTTCGCCTCTGCTCTCCAATCTTCTAGAACTTGGCATGACAAAAGCATGGTGCCATCTTGATTGACTAGGCGTATATAATTGGCCTGAAATCCAGCGACAGATACTCCAATAACATCAAGGACTGAGCTTGGGTTCTCGGACGCAGCCATCAAGCGTTTGCCTCCAATCCACGAGTATGCGATGCTCTGCACGGGCCTTTTCTGGCGCATCGCCGACGAAACCTCGGTATGAAGCATGAATCTCCGAATGTATGCGCCGTTCGTCCCATTCATACGGTCCGCTTCCGCAAATTGGAGCAAAGACACTGCGCCGTTGTGGTGGACCCGCGAGGGAGAGCGAAGGTCGTATACAGCGGCAACGCTCTCATAATGCTGCAGCACCAGCGCCGCCAGCACGGTTGCTGGATTCCTCCGTTGTACGCGGTCGTTTACTGCATTGCGCATACACGCGATGGCCTCGGTGTAAGCCTTCCGTGATAATTGGAAGCCCCTAACGCTACGCCTCCACAGAGATAGTATCCCTGCAGCGACTGCGGATATGGCAAGCGAGAGCGGCGAGCCCTGCCGCTCGGAGCAGTAGACGGGAATCAGGATCTCGAAGAGTCCCCGCGCAGATTCCAGATTGCGTCCCATGCCGACGTAATACTTGAGGAAGAAGGGCACGGAGGTATCGGTCTCGGCCAGTGGACGTGGGCTAGGCGCATAAGCCCGGCCCTGATCAACTGAAGTGAAGAACTTGTGGGTCTGGTCTCTGAACTTTAGGTTGGTATACTTCGTTTGGTAGCCTTCGCAGTGGAGTCCAAGGCGCCGACAATGCCAGCATTCAGGTTTCGCCTCGTCGCATTTGACACGTCGTTGTTTGCACGTCACACAGCCTTTGGAGCGTCCTCGGTTCACCATGATGACGTCTAGATGCCAGAAAGAGAGTTGGTTTTGCGACGAGTTGGCATGAGCGTCACGGTACTATTTAAGTCTTTTATCCCCGACTCCGCCAAGAGGTGGCACAGCCGGTGTTCGTCGATCATTCGGTAGTCCATATCATTCATGTCATAAATTTAGTACGGCGTCCAACAGTCCACGGCAAGTTCCGTGAAGGTTGAACCAATGATCAGGCTCCGTCGCAAAGGATACACTTAATTTGGCTTAGCATGCCGATCACTTAGCTTGCCTAAGCCTAAACTCCATGCGGTTTAGCCTGCGAGTTCTATATAGTAGGGCTCAAGTATAAGTAGAGACAAAACATCAGTTGCGAAAGTAGGGAATCATTCAATGATATCAAGTCCGTTTTACAATTATAGGATCGTCTCTTCTTTTCCGCCATGAAGGTCTCTTCTTCGATCTACATCGGCACGTTGTTGGCTGCGTCGGCGCATAGTCGCCTAGCCGATGCTGCTGTGGTGGGCAACACCAGCAACGATCAGCCCATACTGATGCTGAGCTCGGATCCGACGTTTCACTTTGATCTTCTTATCCCCCTCGCCCAAGCCACTGCTGGAGGTGGGGATATCAATCCTATTCTGGGTGCCGCCAAGAACATTAAACCTGGAGACATGGACTCGTTCACGCAAGTGTTCCTTGCGCTGGCCAAGGAGACCAAGGCCCACGCCGAAAACCCGGACAATGCCTATGACCCCGTCAACGTCCGGGACACCTGGTTCTCGGCGTCCCAATACTTCCGTCGAGCCTCATTCTTCCTCACTCACAACTGGAGCGACCCGCTCATTGATAGCCTATGGGCGGAGCAGACCGCAGCCTTTGATAAGGGCTTAGCCGCCTTGCCGATTCCTGGTGAGCGCATCCGCATCCCAGCTCCCAAGGGAAACTTCACAGTGGAGGCCATTTGGTACGCCGCCTCCGAGCGCAAAGACGCCAACCTGCCCACGTTGATTGTCGGAAACGGCCTCGACGGTTCGCAAGAAGATTCTTACCATAGCTACGTCGCTGCCGCCCTTGCGCGAGGGTGGAATGCCATTACCTACGAAGGCCCGGGGCAGAACACGGTGCGCCGAGAACAGGACCTCGGGTTCATCCCAGACTGGGAGGTTGTCGTCACTCCGGTAGTAGACTACCTTCTTTCCGAAAAGTCGAAGGCTGTGGACCAAGACCGGATTGCCATTCTGGGGAATTCGATGGGTGGCTACGGGGCTACCCGTGCAGTGGCCTTCGAACCCCGACTTGCCGCAGCAGTCCTCATCGACGCGGTCTGGGACCTCTATGAAGGGTACGCGCTACAGATACCGGATGGTCTCCGGGAAGTGTATGAGGCGGGTAACACGACGCAATTCGACCGTGAAATGCTCTCGCTGCGAGAATCCGGAAAACTCTCCACCGGCGCCGCCTGGGGCTTGGACTACGGCTTGTGGGCGTTCAACACGCACTCCCCTTCGGATTTCTTTACCCAAACCAAGCAATTCGCAGTGAAGGATTTCATTCACAAGATTAACGTGCCTGTGTTTGTGGGCGCCGCCCAGTACGAAGACAATTACCCCGGTCAGCCGGAGAGGGTGAAGGAGGCTCTGGGCGATAAGGGTACTCTACATCATTACAACGGTGTCGCTGGCTATCACTGCCAGACTGGTGCTTCGCAAGAAGTGGCAAGAACTGTGTTTGCATGGCTGAACAAGACTCTGGGCTAATGTGTGAGTTTGCATGGAGACGCGTCGAACCTGCAATGTACCTTAGATTCAACTAGGCCTCTGTACATGCTTTTTTAAAGGCGAGAAAACAGCAACATCAAGCGGTTGAATCTTATGAGAAGTGTGTGTGTGTGTGTAGGCGTCCAGATTGGTATAATATTATGTTCTGAGTAGATTTGATCGAATCGAGGCGTTATGTAACTATGGTAGAGATCTAGAAATAACTAAAGGGTGTTTTCCCCACAGATCGGCCGATAGTAAGAGGTGTACCATAATTCTGCAGCTTCTGTTTCTCTCATTTTTTTTATCGTATTATGGAGGCTACCGCCAGGTGGGAGGGGAAATTCAATCCACGCCGAGAAGTAGTATCAGGACTCCCATCATTGACGCAGTCAGACAGCCCAAATAATGATGCCGATTCTGCCGAAATCCGAGGCTGCAAATTGTCTCAGAAAAGGCCCAACAACAGTACGTGAGCTCAGTCGGCTACTGGTCAGTTCGTTCCGCACTGGTGGACCCGCTCGACAGCTCATGCTCAAAAGGGCCAAGTGAAGCTTTTCTCAAATAAGCGTCGATCGTCCCCGTCCGGTCCTTTCAATCATTGGCCATAGTGAAGCTAAGCCCTGCCACTATGTTCAATACGAGGACCCCGGCGGAACGCCTGAACCTAGTGCAAAAGTACTCCATAAAACGTAACCACTTCGAAATGCATCCTGATGTAGACCACCTGCAGGCTTGTCAGTCTTGTGCCAGGAATACATACCACCGTAGACAGGACAGGTATACAAACGATGTTGGATGTTTCTGACAAGACCATTGGAGGGCTGCGAGTTCACGGGTTGTCGGAGAATACGAGGTAGTGCTGCATACGGAGCTGCAAGTTCAGCAGGCGACCGAATGGGTCTTTTTTGGATAGTTGATGCTGCGCGATTTTCGAGTTCAGCTTCAATGTAACCGGAGATGTTAGGCGCCCTGGTCTCATGCATTGAATAGGGAAACAATGATGGATGATCAAGACCGGGGAGTGTTGCATTGAGGGCTCTGGAGATGTATAAATACCACGAAGAGCACCGCAAAGCTTTGATTTAATTCAAACCGCAAAGCATTGTTCTCTCAGCATCACACAGCAAACATCATTTCTACTTTCGATTGTTCGAAGAAACCACTCGCAACCATGGTCAAGTTCACTCTTCTTCCTCTCGTTGCCCTTGCCACTCTGGCAGCCGCAAACAACTGCAAGACCAGCCTCAACTACTGCGGATACAACCTTCTTGGCATCGGTATGTAGCGTGCCATCTAGGGCTTGATGAGGATTGCATGTATTAACCGAAGCGGGTACCATAGGAAACTACGCCGCCCAGATCAATGAAGCTTTGAAAGCCGCCGGCCAACCAACCGATGACGCCCATATTCGCGAATCCCTTTTCCACTGCAATGGAGGAAACAACGGTGATATCTCGTGGACCACTTACTGCAGTGGTAGCTGCCAGGATGGGGGCTCCGGAAAGAGCGATTACTGCTAGATGAGTCGCCTTCTACATAGGTGCCGCATGGAGCAAAGCTAGTGATCAAACTGTCCATTTGTGTTTGGTCATGTCTGTCATTGTGTCAATTTAGTCAGCATGCAGTGTTTTATTCAACATATAGCCTGCATTAGAAGAATCAATAGCGCTTGAACCATCGAACTCCCTTTATAGTCCGTCAATCTGACGCCCTCTTTCACTTTAGATCACTCGTTTTTAGATACACTTCCTAGACAAATCAAACAGACACGCCTGTAGAATCGTAGCCCATGAGGTACTAGGAGTGAACATGGTATTTGATTGTATAGGTATTCACGCTAAAGCGGCTCATATAGTTTACTATATGGTTCTCTGATAAGTAAACTTCTCCAGGAAAATCACTCTATCATTACATGCACATATAATCGCAGCTATACTATTTGCCACATTAATCCAAAAATATATATATATATAGCGTACGATCAACAGCCTGCTGAATCCTTCCGCCAGTTATACTTTCTTACCACAGCCTTGAATGCTCGGACACAGGCCCAGCCTGCCATGCATTTCACTGCCCCAGCGAGCTCTAGTGGAGAGCTCGTCCCGTCGTCAAGTCCCTTTCCCATTGCTCGTGCCGTGTGCCGCTGGTTGTCTAAAATCTTCACCAGGACCTTATTCAATGAGAGCTCCTCCCCACGTGAATCGGTTATTATAAAGCCTGGGGTGCTTTTATTCTCCTGTGATTTATATTTAGTCAATAGCTCGGCTTTCATCGTCTCCAAAGCGATATAGAGAAACCAGTTCGAGTCAAAGGGCCCTTCCCGATGAGGCCACGCCTGGAGAAGCTCAATCGCGCGCCAGCGGATACTGTGATCACGGCAGACCATGGCTGTGCGATATAGGGTTGGAATCACGCCAGTGTTGATGCTAACGGCTGGAGGCTCGGGGAAGCTCTTCACGATTCTTTCCGCGAGTAAAACGATTTTCCGATAATCCGATGTATAATGTTCATATGCAGGTGTATTTCCGCCCAGGAGGCATGTCTTCAGGGAGACGGACAAGCCCAGCTGCTGTAAATAGAGCATGTCGGCCCCTCTTCGTTCTTTTGGACTAAGAGCCGAATATGAGCGGCGATAGAAGTGATCGAATGAGTCCATGTACTGGCTTAGGCTTGACCACGCCGCCAGCTGTCCTGACTGTAGGGCTTCATAATTGGACGCTATCTCTACAGCAGACAGACCCATGCAAGGTCCGGTGAATTGATAGACCGCTCTAAGAGTGGGATTGAAGGCTTGACGGGCCTGTTCTAGGCTATCAAATGCTACACTGCCGCCCCCACCTTGCTTTGACTCATCATCGATAGGCAGGCGGGACGCCTCCACCCCAAAGAGTGTGGACTGAATGCCTAGGTGGTCAAAGGTCTCGACTAAACACGGTTCGACGGCCTCCTCCCAGGGTACCCGGGAGACTGGAGCCTTTTGAGCCGTGTACTCCTTTAAGATTTGCAGACCACTTTTAAGGTGCCTAAAGGCATCATCGTACCGTCCCCGGAGCAGGTCCAACATAATGAAGAGCAAGCAGCAGGTCAGGATGACATCTCGCAGGCGCGGATCCTGTGACATACGGCGCTTGATCAAACAGGAAAAAGCCCGACCGAGTTGCTCAAGGGCGAAAGAATTCCAAATACTATACGCTTCCTGGATCAGCAATGGCATCCCTCTCATCTCCATGCCCTGATGGACAGCGCTCAGAGCGATCACTGCATGGTACACGGCTGGCTCGGACTGGCTCATCCGGAGAACCACTTCGCGCCAGAGTGATGAGTCGTAGAACTCGAGGATCATGGGCACTGTGCGGTGCTGGAAGTACGATAAACATCGTCGCTCGTCCGAGGTCATTGGCCAGGTAGGCCTGTGAGCAATCACCAGGGTCACCACAGGAACGGTGGCATCCACCCCGGCTTTCTTGGTGAGAGGCAGCCGATGTACATCATACCCATCACAAACACGACCGGTTGAGGTGCAATTCCGACACTTCTCAGGGGTTTCATCGCATTTAATGCGGCGAGCACTGCGAGCAACATTTAGAACATACCCACCCCACTTTTGGCAGCTTCCCACAGCTCACCGGCAGGAACGGCATCCAGTCCTAGATTTCCTTCCCACTGTTCGACGATGACCAGCTTCCATCGGTGCACCGGGGGACTGGAACGACCGGCAGGATTTCTGGATCTTCTTCATTGAATAGCTGGCCCAGGAAAGGCAGTCGGCAGTAGACATACAGGAATTCCTTCAGGACAAATTGCAAAGCTGGCGGGGGGGTGCGAGAAGTGTACATTAATTAGTACACAGCTGAGAGAGATGGTTGGGGGCGGAATTTTGGGATGCAGCGCGGAAATCAAGGGTACTCCCTGCTGAGGGCGCCTTAGCTGGCCTGACCGGCTGTCTGGGAGCGGCCGCTGCCGATCCATATCCATGATTAGTAGATTACGTTAGGAACATGTATCAGTGCAGATCCGGGTGGTGTCGGCTATCGAAAGTAACGTAACCGGTAAACAAGGCTGAACCACCTGTCACAAATTCTAGAATAGCACTCACAAGAGCCTCGAGTCGAGTGGCAGGAGTGATATGGGGACAAACGCGTGGGCTAAAAGATACAGGGGCAGAAGTGGCTGATTTTTCTAGATTTTCTCCAGTTTCCATTCATATGGATATTAGGATCGAGATCGCATTTTGTGCAGTGGAGAGGACCAAGTGGTGATGTCTTCGTCAGCGATTACCGGCCGCTGAGGGCTCTTTTCTAAACTGCTCTGGAAGTCCAGGAGTATCCATAGAGTGTGTGCGAGCTGTATGCATCTTCCTGCCAGGTCCGTAAGGCACATTGACTGGCCCACTAGGGACTGGTTGTGTCAGTACAGGCGTGAAGACTTAGGGCATGACTGAGGGAGGATGCTTATAGGATAACATTTGGTCTGTGGATATTTAGTTTCTTTCACATGGTTATCCTGGGAGATAGGAGAGAGTATATATTGACACGCATACGTCGAGGTTAACACTTGCTGAGGCCTTGTTTATTTGAGCGCATTACTTTCATTTCTCATGTTATGCATCATAATCAGTTGCCGGCAACATCAGACAGCATTAGAACATAAAGACCGTAAATGATCCATCACATAACCTCAAACTGATTTCCCCCCCCCCACTCACAAAGCTCATTAACCATTTTAAGACCTCATGACAACACTCTAGGCCTTATTCTCTGTAACATCAGGAGTAGCAGCCCCAGCCTTCCGCTTCTTGATGATAGTAAAGCCACCAACAAGCAGGAACAGCGCCTGCAAACCAAAGATCACAGCCAGAGTGACCATGGCACCAATAACACCAGCCACCGGTCTAGACACACCACCGCCACCACTCTTCGACGTGGCACCCGCGGAATCGGATCGCGAACCATCAGAATTGTACGACGCACACTTACCGTCCGTGTTTCCACAAACCTTGCACCACTCCTCAGTGTCCGTGACGGCAATCTTCTTCGTCTCCTCAACGAACTTCGACCACGGGATCGTGGCACTCGACTGACCATACAGGGGGAACTCCCGCGGCGCATCGTTGGACCCAGCGATGGTGCCGTTGTGGAAGATAAAGCGCACGTTGATCTCCGAGGCATCGGGGAATCCATCTGCAGTAGAATCGGTGATCAGCTCCCAAGACATGGACGACGCATAGTCTGGGATGCCGGTGAAGTTGACATCGGCCGCGGGGAGCTGCGCGAGCCCGAAGTACGAGAGGAAGGTTCCGTAGGAGCCGAACTGAACGTTGAGCTTGGTAGCACCCTTGGAGGTGATGGTCTTGTTGAGGCCCTGGAGCATCTCGCCGGCGAGCTGCGAGCCTGCAATTGCGCGGACGGTGTCGGTGGTGTTGTAGGCGAGGTTGTACTGCTCGACGTTGGCGAGCAGGAAGAGTTGCTCCAGTTGTTCGCTTGTGGGCGTGTTGGTCGTGTTGTGGATGCTGGCGACGTTGAGGTAGTCGTAGATGGTGTAGGCACTCTTGAAGTTCATCTTGTCCTTTGCGAAGGCGCCGTCCAGCATGGACGAGAGCGACTGGTAGAAGTCCGTGGTGGACTTGTAGAGGTCGTTGTACAGCGTCGAGCTGTAGTAGCTGTTGCTGCTGACCTTGGCGTTGTTGCAGCCTGTTGCGTCCTGCAGCCAGGTGTTGTCTTCGCTGTTTGTGCCGGTGGACACCAGGCTGAGCGGGATGAGCTGGTAGCCGCTCAACGGGGCGGAGATAGTCGTGCCGTTGGCCAGGGTCTCGTTGGCTGAGGACCCTACCGGCGGGTAGACACCCTGCATGAAGGCTACGCCGGAGTTCTGGAGGACTGCGTCCGAGGGCGAGGACGCGGTGAGCTGCTTCAGGTTCACGATGTCGGAGCTGATGCCCTCGATCTGCAGCGAGGAGCTCGAGTCAATGTACCGGTCGTGGTAGTAGCTACCGGCTTGGTAGACCTCGCTGTATCCGAGGTCGGTGAGCCGGGTGTTTCCTAGCACTTTGGGTGTGCGGTCTCCATGGCGGGCGAAGATGTATGCACCCAGGACCCTCTCCGCGGAAGCAAGGTCCATGGCCGTCAAGGCCAGCAGGAGGCTGGAGGGCTGGAAAGAAGGCCGCATTGTTGAGTGTGATCCCTTACGACTTATCTGCAGTAACAAGGTGGGGTAGGGCTGTTGGAAGGAAGTGAAGAAGCGGGGTGGGACTCGTTCAGTATTATTATACTCGCTAGGGTCTCACATCGACCGCGGAGACGTTATGTGATCATTATGACCCCTGCACTGATGGAGGGGTCGCATCCAGTGAAAAAATTTAGCTCTGCCATTTTTCTCCTCTTTTAATATACCTTGAAGGGGCAAGTTTCTACGGCGGTCAATGCCGGATGAACCTGGAATACACGCATGGTGGAGGAAGCCATTGGCTGGAAAGAAGCCAAACAGGCGTACTACTCCTAGTACTAGTCTCTAGCCCAGTGACTCCGAATGGACAAACAGGGTAACATATGGGAGTGGGGTATAGTTAACTACGGAAAATTTATTAGCTAATTGAGGACTATCGCTCGAAGATAATGGGCCATTGGATTAGCGTGCAGAAAGTGGAGTGATTTGTCGGCTTTGACTTCCAGGGTCTCAACAGGTCGTTATCGGAGTATATCGGCCAAGTCCGCGGTGCCAAGGCCCTGGTGAGATCCTCAGTGTCTATCAACACTCCGCGGGGATGCTTCTTCGGTTTGTTGTTGAGTCATACAAAGAATTGCCATGACTGATAAGATTCCATCGTCCCTGATCGGGATCAGATATGCCCTCTTTGCTTGCCCCCCTGTTTTACCAAGGTACTCCGGAGTTGGAGGTAAACTAGGGCTTGCTGTGACACGGGGCCAAAGGCCCGAGAGTCATTGAATGCCGACCCCTCAGTTTTCTCAGACTATTGACCAGTCCCCGTTGCTCCGCAGATAGGGCCGTCATGCAGCTAATGTAGCCCTTGACCGTGTGATGTTCTTTGCCTTCAGGCCAATACGAGTTCAGACTCCTCAACATGTCCCCTTCGGCTTAACTTTCTCATCGTTTCGGTGCAAATTTAACTGGTTGGTTGTAACTAAGGACGGATGCAAATGCCAACTGTGAAAACTCCCAAACTCCGACATGAAGACATCACATGACGAGTTTTGATGACATGTGGTGTGGAAATGCAATAAATAATCACAAAGAACATAGTGAAGCTAACTCGCCATGGACACACCCTTATCCCCCATAAGCTCGCATCCATTCCGTACAACTCCAACCAGACCACCGGTTTGCATGGCTTCAGAGCCGCCACCGGCAAGTCGGAATTCTATTTCGGCGAGTCCCTCCAGCCAGGTGACTCTCGTTTGTGCAGGGACTTCTAACTGCTGCAGCTGTTCACCCAGGGCCGCCAGGATATCAGCCAGGGCCAAGCCTTTGTTGGATTTCAAGGTATTCACAGTGTTGAGGCACGAAGTGACGTCGCTAGTAGCAAGAAGAGTAGTCATGATCTCTTGAATGTCAGCGGGGTGCGGTGCGGCTATGCAGTCATAAATCGTTCCATTTGTGATCAATTCCGGTTCAGGACGGGGTTGGTCTTTCGGCGCATTCTTGACAGGGAGCGGTATGCCTATATCACGTCAAAATCTCGGTCCGTAGAATTGTTTCGGTTGCACCTACTGCTTGCATGGCACGCTTGTAGCACGTTCAGTGCGCGACGCATGTCACCCTTACTCAATCTGACCAAGCTGTCCACAGCCTCCGGCTGAATGTTCACCTGCTCTTTTTCAATAACCAGGTCAACCAGTGACCTGATGTCCTGCTCCTTCAGCGGGCTAAAGCGGAACCGCGTGCAACGCGACAGAAGCGCGGGCGATAATTTGTGGGTATAGTTGGCAATAATGCAGAATCTCGTATTGGCTGTATATCTCTCCATAATCCGACGGAGTGCCATTTGCGCGGTTGCAGTCATGGCGTCTGCTTCGTCAAGGATGATCAACTTGTACGATGCGAGTGACGATCCACCGGAGGTCGGTTGGGGGGCCATGGAGAAGATCTGTTTCGTGCCTATACCAAGTAAGTTGACTGCCGAATCAAGTAGTTCCTTTCTGGGGGCACGAACTAGCAAAGGTCTTAATTTGTTCTCGGACAACATCAATGCCTCGATCGTCACTGGCATTCAGTTCGAGCACCATCTGGCGCATGTTTTTGCTCCCATATATCCGCCTTGCGAGCGCAAGGATTGTAGATGTCTTGCCAGTTCCCGGAGGCCCATACAGAAGAAGATGCGGTAGTCGCTATTATAGAGATTAGTGAAGGGGCAACGTTTTTGGTTTCGTGGCGCATACATTCGCATCGACAAATTTGTTAATTGTGGCTAAGATGTCCTTATGACCGGAGACGTCGTCGAGAGTGTTTGGTCGGTACTTCTCAACCCTGGAACGAATCAGCGAGCTAGTTATTAAAATAGTAATTTGAGACAAGTGCTCACCATGGCAGATTATCTTGAGCCTCGACAGGTAGGTCTGACACAACTCTCTTAGCTTTCCCACTGCTATTATCGGAGCTGAATTGGATTGTGCTCTTGGACGGAGCATCCACGTCCATTTCATCTTCGTAATCGGACATTTTGCCGTGAGATATTCACACGAGCCTATAATTGAGCCTCCAGGGGATTTAAAATAAATATTTGCACGCAAATAGAAGACGATAGGAAATTTGCAAAGCTGCTGGATGAAGCAAGACGCGTCAAAACACACCCGCGCGTAAAGAGGTTCGGCGCCGGAAAATCATTTCATTGCTTCAGGAGCTCAGCCCTATAGGTGATGACATGCACCTCCCGCCGTCTGGCAGCACCGCCATCAACGACCTTCAACGCTACTTCTTACTCCAACAATCCTCGATAGACAGGCGCTAAAGGGGATTGATCATATCATTATATTATCCACCATGCCGGTGAGTGGTTTGCGGTCGTTAATTCGACGATACCCCGACCGTTCCCTTCTCTAACGCAGTCCAGGCATACCACTCCGTCTTCCTCCAGGATCAGGGTATCCCCGTAATAGGTACGCCGCTACAACCCCTCCTGATACGCCTTTAGCAAAATACGACACCATACCAGATCTACACACCCACAATATTCCTCAGACTGACTCCATACTCTCCTCCCCGACAGGCAACTTTCCTATCCTTCCCCTCCGCACCCGCACTCGCGGCCCCGCATACACCCTCCCCCCGCTACCGCCCAATGTCCCCGACACCGAAATCGCCGTCGACAGCGAGTCGTACGACTGTGTAGACGAGATCCTGTCTCTCTTCCGCGCCAATGTCTTGTTTCGGAACTTCGAGATCAACGGCCCCGCCGACCGCATGCTCATCTACGGCACCTTGTTCATCAGCGAGTGTCTCGGGAAGGTCAGGCCGAACATGACCGCCCTCGAAGCTGGCAAGGTACACAATCGGATGCGATACACACCCGTGCTTAATGTAAATGTGCGACGGAGACACTGACTGCGATATGCGTTGCTAGGCTCTTAACAACGTTGCGCTCGACTCCTTCGCCATCCCGGGCGATGCCTCCTTCCCCCTTAACCAAGCTTTCGAGCCGCCCCGCGATCGCCAGGATGCTGAGACACTGAGAGCGTATGGCTACCCTGATCTTTTGCTCCGGTGGGTCGGAAGCTAATATACTGTGCTATAGATACCTCTCGCAGGTACGACAGGAGATTGCTATCCGTCTACATGCCAGATTATACCCCGGTGGCGTTGGCCCTTCAAAGGTAGGGGATTCCATGTATTTGGCTTTAGATTATGGCGTTGGTCGCTAATATGTGAGGTACAGTGGTGGTTGAGTTTTGCGAAGAGAAAGTTTATGGGCAAGAGCTTCTAGGTGATGCGTTTTCTTTTGTTTGGTCACTATTCAGCGTACAAAGCGTATGAAAGCAACCATTTAAGAATTTCCGATTTCATTTTCTAAAAACTATATTGTATCCGAATTGTGATATATCTAGATATGGATTGCTTATTCTTGTTAAGGTTCAGACTCAAGCGTACTGCGTAGTAGATGAGCCTTGTGTATGCTGTACTTGTATTGGTATATCTTTATGCGGTATGCCGCATGGCATGGCGTATTTTTATCATCATGGCTGGCCAGAAATATCCTAGTCTACATGGCAACAATGCAAAATTAATCCAAAGGAGCTCCTATCACTTCATCTCGACATCCACACCGCTGCCACTGTCGACTGCGGTGGTGGGCGTATCCTGTGTCAAGACCTTTCTCTTCTTTCGGCTTGGGTTGCCCGCGGCCTGAATAGTTTGTTGAGTAGGGATTACTCGGACACCGTGAAATATATAGCCCTCCGCGCCACCGCGCATGGACATTAGGGGGTGAGTACGCCCGGGGAGCACCTGCCAGGGACGTACCCGGGAGTTTTGAAGTGTGGGTGCTAACAACAGGGTGGGATCAAGATAAAATTCATCCATCAGTTCCGAAAGTTCAGAATCTTGGAGCTCATTTTCATTTGCATCGTTTTGGTCGCTTGACTGTAGCCTTTGTTCTTTTAGTTGTTGCTTTCGGGCTATGAATGCCGTTTTCCTCGGTGTTGAGTAGAGATCCATTAACTCGGTCAAGGGCTCGATTGATGGAGAGTAGACTGCGACATGGGCTGAGCCGGTTAATAGTGGAACTGCATACTTCAGCACGCTTGAAGGATCCATGACGGTTGCGACGATGAGCCCGTCGAATTCTCCAGCCCGGGCTTCGTTAACGACGCTCTGGATTCGTGTCCACCTGTTGCGCTTCCGGTAATAAGCGCCTCGCTTGTTGGATTTCATGGTATATAATTCGGCCTCGGGAATGACCTCTGGCTCTTCGGAGTAGATCGGATCAGCATTAGGATCCAAAAGTTGCAGCCAGGAGAGGGTCTTTAGATGTTGGTGAAGAGGATGTGTCTCGTCGGGATTATCTAGGTTATAACCGAAGTATTTCAGGAGAGAGAGGTTCGGTTGCTTGTGTGGATGAAGGTACGTTATGCTGTTTCCGGATGCGGACATATGACCTGGGCGACCTGGGCGACGAGTGGAAGAATCAGTGGGTAATTGTTCCTCATCCTGCGCCTGTCCTGCTTCGGTCTTCTTGGGTTCGTCGGATGACCCTTGCTCCTCATAGTCATCACCGTCATGTGGGTACAAAATTCCCATCCTCTCGGCCATCGCTGCGACTACCAAGCCTCCCGTATCGTCGACAACAAGATAGCGACCATTAGGCTTCGCCGCAATAGCCTCATCGAGAGAAACATCTCCACCATGGTGTACATTTCCCCAGCAGCCCAAGAGCCCGATCATTTCATCGCGCAGCTCCATAATACGCGCTGCGCCCTGGTCTTCCATCATATGATTCGTAAGAATGCTAACATCCATCGGAAGAACCGTGAACCGCTTCATATATTTTCTGCGCTTCCGCAGCATATATTTGGCGAGCGAGAAACTTGTCTTCTGATCCAAAGTTTGATGAGACTCCAGAAGTTTGGAGATAATTTCCCGTCCAGCGCCACCGGACTCTTTTTTCAGCGCCTCGATCTCCTCCCACGTCAGCTTCTGAGTTGATGCGTCGTCGACGATCTCGCGATTTGTGCGCATGGGAGTCCCATCTTCGTTTGTGTCGAGCTCGTCGCCTTCTCCCTCTCCCTCCTCGATCAATGTCTCGGCATGCAGCTCAGCTGCGGGAACCATACGTAGACAGCTGCCATCCTCTTCGTCTGCGTCATCAAGGATCTCGAAGGTCAGATAGAAAGGTCTCCCGATGATCTGGTTCGCGGGGAAGCTTCCGAATTTTCCCAAGAAGACTGTTCTAATTCATTCGGTCAGTACAATGCTATTTCCTGTATAACGCAGCAAACGACAGTCATAGGACTGGGCAGGTACTGTGTACATACGAGTCAGGCACGATCTTCTGAATCTTTGTGAACTCGGAGGGAAGCCGCAATGCGACGAATTGGTGGGGACGGACGTAAGAGTGCATCGTATCGGACACGCAGTAAAAGATATACGGAAAAAAAAACAAGCAAGGATGAGTATTAGATCATGGTCTCCTGTAGCACAGAAATTATACCAGAATGGACCCAAAAATTCTCCGCAAAGTTAAGAATCCGCGTACAACATGCGCGGGTGTCCCAGTGCTCGTTTTACTTTTTTTGCGATAGCGCACGGACCATATTATATGATCTACACTTCGTTCGGATCAGATGTTATTCCGTCCGATGGATACAGTGTGATGTCAAAAGTTTGAACCCTTCCAGTTGATCGCCCTACATACCACTTAAGTCAACTTCAGCAAGTTCAGTTGACTACCTACGGATAGGCCTATACACGCATTGAAATGGCACCTAGAAAGGAGTTAGATCCTCAGATTCGCTCACGTATATGTGAACTATATAGTATTGGCTGGGGCCCTACTAAAATCCATCGCAAATACCCCGAAATACCGCTTTCTACTATCAAAACTACTATACGTCGGGAGCCAATTCGGGTCAACAATACTACGCGCGCGCGTTCTGGCCGCCCTCGGAAGCTTACTGAGCAACAACGTGATCATATATATGATTTAGCTCGTTCTGAACCTCATATAAAGTTGAATGATCTACTATCAAAGGTAGACCACGTGGTCAAACGCCGTTCTATTCAACGCCTACTGAGTGAAATGGGCTGCCGTAAAACGGAAGCGGCTAAGTCAACCTGAAATCAAGCCTATACACGCAGCCAAGCGGCTTGCCTTGTAACGGTGTTCGATGAGTGGCTGGTGTGGCGGTTGATAGAGCATCGTGGCTTCGCATTTGCTGCAAGGTAAGCATATTGTTTCCTTGGGCCATGCCAGGTGGATCGCCTGACTCATTCGGAGAGAATGCATTCTCATAGAAATTATCTTTTATCTCCTAGGATTATGATGAACTCACAAAGTCGGAGACATCAAGTTCATTCCTTGAGAAGGAGGGGAATTCCACAAAGTCTACGCACTTAGGAATCATACTTCGTCATCACAGTCAATGCCACTAGGAGCAAAGCTAAGGCCGCTAAGCCTTTACGATACAAAATAATGTTTCATAACGGGCCAGGTCATATTCGATACGTTGCCGACTTCATAGCAGCCGTTTCAAAGCTCCATCGGCGATTGAATTGATCCAACGAGGCATTCAGTTACTTATCCATCTCCCAAAGACAGCTTTTGTTCTTCCAGCACTATCATGAATATGCTTCAATGCTACCCGAGTTATATAGACACAGCTCGGGCGCAACAGGTCAATCAAGTGTGGAGCTATATCTTCCTGTGTATTGTTAATATCAATCGCCATACTAGAGACCGTGTCCAAGGTATCAGAAGACTTTTGCCTCCATTCTTCCAGTTCTGAAGAGAAGGGCTGGATGGAATGACTCAGAATATACCAGTGCAGTCGGCCGCCGCTAAACCATCTATAAATTGTTTGTGGGTTTCCATTTGCTTTAGATCAGACCTTATGCTGAGCATTGGCCAATCAATGGTTAGGCACTCTCGGTCCACAGTATACTTGATTGTTTCCGTTAAAATGAGAAGATGTTGAGTAGAATACTACGATGCTTATATAGATCTCTTTATCCCCATGTTTCAAAGTCAGGGGATTGTATATTCGGTGTTCAGAGAGACAATTTACATATAGAGAAAAGCGAGCCCGATATACCACCGGAAGGTGGCCTTCCAGGCTGGTTAGTTGTCGGAGGCTCGTTTCTTGCCCTATTTGTACATTTGGCTTCTTGAATGTGTACGTCTCACGGGGTTGCCGGTCATGGGCTCCATATTACACCGTCAAGGGAACACCGACTTCTCCGGGCTGCAGTTCTTTAGTGGGATGGCATGCCTACTGGGAGCATGTGTAATTGCAGCAGCAACTTACCTGCTAGGTAATCTGCGTCAAAACAGAAAAGATCTGATACGGCCTGGCTATGCAGATATCAATGAAAGTATTGAGCCCGTCAGCCTTTGACGAGGCTATCATTCTAAGCAAAGCTCCGTCTGTCTCCTCCAATAACCCGGAAAGGGTAGTATGTTTTAGATCTCTTAATTAAGCCCTGGTGGTGGGGTACCATTTTCAGCTCGATATCTCGAATTGATCACGCATCCTCCAGAATAACAGACACTGTGTGGCGATCAGAATAAACCCCGAAGATTGCACGATGCTGTCTATGTCCAATTATTTATGAGAAAGGAGCATCATAAGGGCCGATGACTCTTGAAAGTGGCTAAAGTGGCGGGTGGATCATGTGGTGGCTGTGGCTGAGCTACTATAATACGTAATGTGGGGTTGACGATACCAATACGGTCGAAAACAAGGGATGCCTTGATTTTAGGCAGTGAGATGGCTTGCTGGATCAGTAATTAGTGTAAGTACGGAGGAACGTTCCGACCCAAAGGCTGGCCACCGGAAATTCGCCTTGTTACCCACCCAAAGCCCCATAATTAAGTTGACGACTCACTAGTCTATCCGGAAATCTGGGTGCCTGTTATCAACATCTATCTATTGTGAATTGCATCTCTCCTCGGATCCTGTCAGGAACCATTTGAAGAGGCTGTATGGGACAAAGCCATGGCAGTTATTGTCTGACGGACATCTCTCACGCAAAGTGTCTATTGGCCCCCAGCCTTATCTTGAGCCACCGTTACGTATGCTCACGAAATAGCTTTGAGCCACGTCTCACTGTCCGATCTATCATTCGCGCATGAGGGAAACGAGATTCATTAATTCGTTCCCTTTGTCATACACCTTTGATTGGTCGCTCTTAGCGTGCTCACCTTGCATTCATTAAAAGGCGCTGCCTTAGATTAAATATACGTCTGCCTTCATGGTCTTGCGCAAACGGGCCCCGCCACACCTGTACAGTCTCAACAAGGGTAATGCTCGTTCTGAACCTCGCTCTGCGATCTCACAGATCTCCCCTACCTCCAAATCTGTGTCGTCTTCATCCCCGAAGCGCTTAACCCGCCCGAGACGAGCTCAAAGCTCTCCACAGCCCCATCGACTTCCTTCTCAAGAATCAATATATTCTCCTGATCTCAACACATCCCCAGCATTTGATTTAATGCCCCTGGAGCAAGCCCAGAGGTCTCCAGTTCGATCCTCACCGAGCGAAAACATGAACCCATGGGCGGATGAACTGGTGGAGCGACCCGGCCAGAACCAGCAGGGATATAACGGCTCGGGACAATCGGTCGCTGATAATGCTCCACCAGCCGAGAGTGCGGAGAATAGAAGGGGAGATCGGGTGCCGTCTATACTTGTTGCTGGTACCCAGCGGAGGATGGCCGCAAACGAATGGCAGCAGAATGGAGACGTCAACGAGGCTCCCGACTGGGAACACGTAGGAAACTCCCCAGCTCCGCTGCAGTCCAACAATCCGTTCTTGAAGCCACGTCAGCCTGAACAGAATCCATGGGATGATAGAAGCCCTCGCCCGTTCTCAGAAGCAACATCTGCATCACATGAGAGTGCAAATGCACGTTTAGGACAAGGTCCGATTGGCCTTTTCATTTATCTAAAGCATAATTTCCACGAGCGCAACGCTAACGCACGACAGATGAAGGGTATATTCCGATGACAGCGCGGTTATCGCTTTTCGACCAGCCATCAGAGTCTCCCTGGGCTGGAGAACGTTCTGCAGTACCCCCGCCGATCCTGCACGAAAACCAGTACCCTGCCCAAGATTCACCATACCCCCCTCAATCAGCAGCTGGGGTTGCGAACGCTCAGTCTCCTTTCCAACAGCCTCAGACTACTCCTTACGACAATCCAAATACATATCCTCCACAGCCGCATCAGCAAGGAAATCAAGCAGAGTTATCACCAAAGAATGAGATAGGTACCCCTGCTACTGTTTCTACCGCAAACACTGGGTCTTCACATGTTCTCATTGATCTCAATGAGGCATCGGATACACATACACAAACGAACCAGCATACGGCAGCGTCCTCCGTGTATTCCGACATACCCGGGGGCCAACCACATCCATCACCCTCACAGAACAGTCAACTAGGCGCTGCGCCACCTCTTCCTGACCGGTCAAATATTGCACAGCCTAGTCAATCGAGTTTCGGTACTCCAGTCTCCGAAACTGAAGCAAAGAGGCAGCATGAACAGAGATCTGAAACTTATTCGATCAGACATGTCAACTGGACTGACGCCTCAGGAAAGCTTCGCGACTGCCCGATTCTTGCTCAAAATAAAAATGGGCCATGCCCATTGCTAGCGCTGGTTAATGCTCTCGTGCTGCGGTCAGGCCCCGATGCCCAGCCTCCTATAGTCAGGGCTCTACAAACACGAGAGCAGATATCTCTTGGTCTGTTAATCGAAGCTTTGTTCGACGAGCTAACGACATGCTTGGGGCCCGATGATGAGCTTCCAGACATTGAAGCCCTGAGTAGATTCTTGACTATGCTCCACACGGGCATGAATGTCAATCCACAACTCACACTGGTAGGGGATTCTGTTACACTCAGGGTGATTTTGTTGTACTGACAACGAAGTAGGAATCTAGCGATTCAGTAGGCACGTTCTTAGAAACTAGTGATATTAAGTTTTATGGCACTTTCGGCGTCCCGCTGCTACACGGCTGGATCGCTGAACCGTCTACGGAGGCCGATGAAGCGTTGACTCGTGTGGCTCGGTTTTATGAAGATATCCAACTTCTCCCCTTCCGCAAACAAGAACTTGAGGATCGTGTATTTCGAGGCGGGTCACTCACTCCAGAGGAAGAGCAGAGCATGAAAGATATTCAAATCATTCAGCATTTTACGGAGATCGAGAATGCCACCCAGCTCAGCACATTCGGGATACAACACTTGGCAGAAAAACTGGCGCCTGGGTCTCTATCGATTCTATTTCGCAATGACCACTTCTCTACCCTCTATAAACACCCACAAAACCATCAGCTTTTCACACTAGTCACGGATGCTGGGTATTCTCATCGGGCGGAAATCGTATGGGAGTCTCTCGTTGATGTCAATGGATCACAATCCGGCTTCTTTGCGGGTGACTTTCGTCCTGTCAGCCATACCTCAACCGGAGCCTCCGATCCATCCGGTCCAAGAACGTCCAGCAATGCTATGCATTCTGGAGTCTCCTCAGCAGTCTCACAAGAGCAGCAGGGCAGGGCGTTGTCTCCACAGGAACAGGCTGATGCAGATTATGCTTATGCTTTGTCTCTTCAACTACAGGAGGAAGAGCAGCAAGCCAGTGGCCGGACTCCCCGTGACCGTAATCAGCGGGCTTCCGTTCCAAACTACCCTCGAGGGCCCTCTGAGGGACCAGCCCCCGCTCGCCACCGCTCTACAGGACATCGTCCATCACAGCAACCTGAACGGCACTCGCCGTCTCAGAACGCCGATGATGTTCCACCGCCTTCTTATGAGCAGGTAGCCAATAATGCGGCCTATCAGTCACCTCCACGAAACTCCAATAATAGAGCTGCGCCTTATGTAGCTCCATATCAGAGAGCGCAGTTCGGAAGACGACCACCAGGTGTGCCTATAGCAATTGGACCATCGGATCGCCCTAAAGACCGAAATAAGGATTGTATAGTCATGTGAACTCACCAGGATTTCTACTCCGTACGCTACCGGTGCTGGTTTGACGATATACTTGATGACGAAACGAAATAATACTGGTGTATGGACCTATGTACTTTATATATATAGACACGAATCGGGAAGGGCGGTTGTATCTTTTTCTGCATTGTTCAGAAAGGCGAGATATTACTTGCCTGGTCGTGTTAGGGCAACAAGGCGCTTTTCCTTTTTGATGGAGCGGGTTTACCGGCTAATCGTATATGGTTGTGGCTTTTTATTGTAGATCCCTACTACAATTGTTAGGAGGGTTTGTCTGTGCCTATGCATTTAGGCTGTTTCTATAGCGTTCCGGAATATAGGTCATTTCCGACGGGAGAATTTCTTTCATCTTTTGTAATTCCACGGAGGAACTTGAGCCAACATGTGACATGACACTTATACTAGATTGTTCCCCAATCTCCTCGGTCAGAACCATTCCGCAAGTTGTCCTTCTTTCTATTTGGCCGTGCAGAAACCCTTCTGCGCCTACATTGCAGCGTCTCGGCACCGACAGATCCATCTCCGATATCTGAGACAGGTTCCCAGCACGTTTGTTAAATAAAAGGCCGCCATGGGCCACCTAATTGGAGGAAGATACATGGACTCCTTTTCTTGAATTATGTCCTGTTTCATTGATACTCTTAGACCCTGTCTGTGAATGGTCAGGTATCGGAAATTATGCAGGCGGAGTTTACTCCATGGGGATGCAAAAGTCTCGAAACAGGGCATATGGTGTATAGACTGGTTATACGGACTGTCGCGCCGTCGGGGAAATAGATGATGAAAACACCAATGGCTTTCTCCATACTACTGTATTGGGCTGCATTGCTTGATTGGTATGGCGTGCTAGTAGTCAACTACCTATCTGATGATCGTCTTATGCATTCCTGTTCCAGTTGGCGAGATGCATGCAAGGTGCCTCCAGACAGCACCTATAGCAAGAGACTCCAAGGTTTCATCCTTCGAGGGGCACTCGAATCAGCTAATCGGTCAAGAACCACTGTTAATCAATTTCAAATGCCCCTAATGCACGATGACTGGTGTCATGTTCACCAACATCTGTTGGCCTATAGTAGTTCTACCTTTCCTCAGGGTTTCCAACTTGACATTAGTATATAAACGACCATCTCTCCCTCATGCTCTGACCGCACGGGCTTCCAAATAGATTTCACAGGTCTTGAGTCACCTCTGAGCTCTTGTAATCATGCAAATATTACGGCCTTTAGCTCTCACGGCCTTTCTTAAAGGCTCCTGGGCCCTTGGTGCCAATTGTACAGGGTCTTTCGATGCCATCTCGGTCTCTGATTTCGTGGCGAAAATAAATCCCGGGTGGAACTTGGGCAACAGTCTTGACGCTACCCCGAATGAAGATTCTTGGAATAATCCCCCCGTTCAAGAATCGACCTTTGACTATGTCAAGTCAGCGGGATTTAAAAGTGTTCGCCTTCCAGGTGCGTGGATACATAGTCCCTTCTCTTTCGAGAGACTATCCCCATATATGCTGACAATACCAATAGTTACTTGGACACATCACTTCACTAGTGAATCTCCTGACTGGACCGTTGATCCAGAATGGCTGCAGCGAGTTTCTGATGTTATAGACATGATCACGTCTCGTGGTCTGTACACTATTGTCAATGTCCATCATGGTAAGCTATCCAAGAACACCTAGAAACATGGCTTAGCCACTGGCTAACAATCTAGACTCGTGGGAATGGGCGGACGTCACTCAATCCGATGCAAATATCACGCAAATTGAGCAAAAGTTCGAGAAACTTTGGTATCAGATTGCTACTAAATTGGCTTGCAAGTCAAGCATGGTCGCTTTCGAAACCATCAATGAACCACCTTGCAACACTGCGGAAGATGGTGCCAAGATCAATAAATTCAATGAGATTTTCCTCACAGCAATCAATCGTGCTGGGGGCTTCAATGCAAAGCGAGTCGTCAACCTGGTAGGTGGAGGGATGGACAGTGTGAAAACTTCCCAGTGGTTCAAGGCCCCTGCCAATATTACAAACCCATGGGCTCTTCAATTCCATTTCTATTCTCCTTGTAAGCAGGCTAGATCCCTTTTCACAACTCAGTGCTAACGCTCTCATACAGACGACTTTATCTTCAGCGCATGGTAAGTAGCATTTAACCTTCTATTGGTATTATCACCATACTCAACTTTCCTAGGGGTAAGACTATTTGGGGCTCAGACTCAGATAAGAATGAGCTTGACAGCGCCCTCGCCCTCCTTCGAGGTAACTTCACCGATATTCCCATCGTCCTTGGAGAGTTTGATGCCTCTCCAACCAACACCGAGCCAGCAGCACGCTGGAAATATCACGACTACCTCATTCGCACCACGAAGAAGTACAACATGAGCCCTATCCTCTGGGACAACGGACTTGACCACCTGGACCGCTCATCAGGCATCTGGCGCGACCCAACATCAATCGAGATCCTCACCAACGGAAACGAGGCCAACAGTCTTCCCGACAGCACCGTGGACACCTCCGCAACCAGCCAATGGTCTTCAGCATACATTTACCACAAAGTTGGAACAGAAGTCACTGACCAGACTCTCCCCTTCCTGCTCAACGACAACACCCTCGTCTCCATCGAAGACTCGAAGGGTACCGCCCTAAAGGCAGACACAGATTATACCGTCTCCGGTTCCAACATCACATTCCCTGCCTCATTGCTCTCGACCTATTACTCGGAAACGTCCGAGCCCGGCCTCCTCCCCAACTTCACCCTCAAGTTCTCATCAGGAGCATCTCCCGTTGTCCAACTCGTCCAATGGGACACTCCAACACTCTCAAAGACCTCCGCCGCCGCCTCATCCGTCTCAGGATCCGACCTCTCCATCCCTATCACATGGAAAGGCATTCCTAAACTCGCCGCTGTTAAGGCCGTCCTCAGCGATGGCACGTACCTATTCGACGACTTCACCCAATGGTTTGGTCCTTTTGCTGAAGCCAGAACAGTAAGTCCCCCTTCCCTTTCCCCACTCTCGATAATACTGCAGTGATTATTGACATCCTTGTTCCAATCTACAGACATACAGTGGCCAATGGAACTGGGATGACGCGAACGTGATTCTCACACAGGCTACGGTTGAGGCTGTTGTTGCTGCAGGTCAGGATGCCGTTTTCACATTCGAATTCTATCCACGTGTCGACACGACCACCAACACGGCCAATTTTACTTTGACTGTTTGAGAGCTGTAGTAGCTATCATTATTTGTATGGATATGGTTGTTTTTTTTTTTTTTTTTTTTTTTTTTTTTTTTTTTGATTTTTTTTTTTTTTTTTTTTTTTTTTTCTTTGATTTGTATTGAATTAAGCTTTCATGTTAGTTTGAGCAATTGGTAATGTTGGAAAATGCTAGGTTCAGCTTAGTATATAGGCTCTAGGTATAGCCGCTGGTTCTTCAAGCTAGTTATAGACAAAATGGACCAGTTGAAT